CAATACAGCTCTAGAGATAAATATAAAAGTGCCACTCTAGACAAAACAGAAATAGCCCAGACAACAAACAAACACAGTAAACAATTCACAGACACACACACACACACACACACACACACACACACACACACACACACACACACACACACACACAGAGCGCAGCAGCTTTTGTGTGGCATCAGGTGTGACCGTGGCATAAAGGGAAATGCGAGGGGATGTTCTGTCGTGCAGCTGCCATTTGAAGCCATGATCAAACACACCAGCCGGTCCACAGAGAGCCAAGAAGCACTCAACCTCAGTGCCAAAACGATAGAGGGTTGATCTAATGGCACTGAAACTAATGGGGAAATTAGAAAGTGATCCATCAGGAGAGCCCATGGGGACTCACGGTCAATTATTCAGGGGTCTCATGCTAAGAAACAGCGGCTTGAGATCCACACGACAATACAACACTGAACACTGTGCTTGTGTGTGTGTGTGTGTGTGTGTGTGTCCAGACTGACATGTAACCCTGACTGTTTGCAATCACACAATTTTTTTTGTCAGCAATCAACACATCGGCCAATCCGCTCCCAAACGCGCGCACACACACACACACTATACACACACACACACACAAGCACACTAATCCATTTGCCTCCTCCTCTTCTCACTGCGCTGTATGCTGTGGGGAGATTCGGGGCCCTGTCACCATGGAAACCTGGCCAGTATAAGTGCACAAATGAGTGTGTGTGTGTGTATATTTGTTCATATGTGTATAAGCGTGGGTGTATATGAGGCCAAGGCCTACACAGGTTTTCATACTTTTGGCTGCCAAAGAGGGGGCAGACACTCGCGGAAACCTACTATATGATCATACATATTCATGACTCTTCTAACGTTTCATGGTGGATACTGAATATATTTGCTTTTGAAGGTACACAAGTTTCGTATAGGTGAGCATGGGTGGGAGTCAACCTTTCTGTCAGCAATGGGGGGCAAGAGACGCCCAAGCTGGCAGGCAAGGAGGAGGTGTTTTAGTGCGACACCTCTTGCGGATGGGCAAATGTCGTTCAGCAGGGGCTGTGAGGAGGCTTTGGAAGAGGAGGACAAATTTCAGCGTGACACAGGAACTTCTCTTAAAATGTCAAGAAGACATGAGGGGAATAAAATGTAGAATAGTAGCCCATTGCGTAATGTTTGAGCATACATTTAGATTTAGCAGACAATTTAATCCAAATTGACTTGCAATTAGGACTATGTGATTAATCGAAATTGAATCGTAATCGCAATTTGAAACATTGCAATTAGTTCATTGAAAAAGGCTGCAATACAAAATATATGTTATGTATTATTTAATTTTCCCTGCCCAGAGCAAATGCATGTTTGACAGTCTTCCCACACCCCCTATTTTTTTGCGATTCCGCGATTGCTGAATCTAACGCAAAAATCAACAAAACGTTCTTGATTTAAAAAAAAAAGGCAAAAATGTAAATAATCTCATAAAACATCCAATTCCAAACCATATAATTATATTACAATTATTTTAGATTGCATTTAATTGTTTTTATCCAAATTGAGTTGCAATTAGGGGTGTGCGATTAATCGATATTGAATCATAAATCGCAATTTGAAATGTTGCGATTAGTTAATTGCAAGAGGCTGCAAAATGAAATTTATGTTACATATTATTTTATTTACTTTGTATTATTTAAAGGGGTGGTCCACTACGATCTCATATTTTAAACTTTAGTTGATGTGTAATGTAGCTGTGTGAAAATAAACAGCATCTCTGAATGTAAAAAGTTCTAAGTTCAATTCTAAGGGAGACCTTGGTTTTTACAGAGTTAGCTTAGCAAAGCCTACAATGAACGAATTTTGGGGACTACAAAAAAATACTTCCGCCCCCTGTGACATCACAAGTTCGTTTACTGCGCATCCCACACTGCGCATGCAGGTAAGGTCCGTGGCCAGAGGTGCTGTAACGTTATAGCAGAGATGAAGCTAAAAATGCATTCCACAGAGCTTCATCTGTTTCTGTATTTGGGCTTCCAAAGGACACGACACAAAGACAGAAGTGCCTTTAGTTCAATATTAATTAACTTCCAGAGAATTATAAAATACTCAGCAAGCATGATTTGACAAAACAGCTCCTGAATCTCTCCAAGTTCAGTGCTGGATTCGGCTAAAATCTCCTCAAAGCAGAAGTTGTGATCTACAAGTAAGTGTTTTTATTTTTTAAAATTGATCATGACATGTACAGTGTCTAGCGTTAACTGTATGCTGTAGCAATGATGTAAACAATGCGAAATGCTGCTTTGCGGGCAAACGATTTAGCTACAAACTCACATTTATCAGCCAAACTCCTGTAAACACACACTCACTCCACCAGCACGATCTCTTATGTGTGTGCGCGACTGCACTGATTGTCTTGGCTTTTTCATGTGTTTCACATCTCAGATAATGAAGTCGCAAAAGATATGTGGATGATTTATATTACTTACACCTGCATATTCCGGATACTCGTGAAAGACGTCATGACGCATAGAGTTAAAAAAACACAGATTAGCTTACCTGACTAGTGGTCGCAGCAGAATAATAAATCAAGGCTCAACAGGTAGCATCTCACATCTTGTGCTTTATTCTTCTGTCACGATATATTACAGAAAATAACTTAATCCGAGCATCAGAGAAAAAGAAAGTCCCGCGCTCTTGCGCTTGTTACAGAAAGTTCACACCACACAAACACACACATAGACGCACACACAGACGCTGTTAAAGGAGTCGCACCCCTTTTTCACTCGTTAGTTACAGACACTTGTCAGATGTTATTTTAGAGAGCGGGCGCGAGGTTGACTTCATGTTTACACAGCAGAAAAGCGTGTGCTTTTACGGGCGTGACGTGGAGCCGATCCGCCAATAGCAGCACATTATGTCGATGACCAATCAGAGTCACTTAAGGGCGGGCCTTTTAGAGGAACTAGGAAATATGACAGTCGTTTTCATGTTAGCTGAGTAGCTGTGTATAATCAAAGTGAGATATATGAAAAAATTACGCGATTTCATAAAAGTGAAACATAAGCACACATTGCTTTGCATCTTATAAACACAACCAAGCCTTAAAATTACATTCTGGACCACCCCTTTAATAAGACCCCATAGTTTTTCGCGATTCCGCGATCGCTAATTCCAACGCAAAAATCAACAAAAAGTTGCAAATATTTGCGATCCTGCAAAATTCTTAATTAAACACAAAATAATCGCAAACATTTTAATAATCTCATAAAACATCCAATTCCAAACCATATAATCAAATTATATTTATTTCAGATAGTAGTTAATTTTTTTACGTGACTTATAGACATTGCATATGCAGCACATGTGAAGTATCTGAGTGTCTCTTGAAAAATGACGTCTCACCTGCGGATTACAAGGAGGGGGGGAATTGTTTTGCAGTCTGCGCAGTAAGAAGACACGAATGAAACGCGAATGATTTACATATGAAGTCAATGCAAAAACTGAATTAGACATCCTGTGGAGCGCATTCTTCAGGGCGCGTTTACACTAATACGCTTTAGTTTAAAAACGCATAAGTTTTGCTACGGTTACGCCATCTGTCCACACTACATCAGAGTTTTTAAGTGCCGAAAACAGAGCATTTTGGAAATGCTGGAGAGGCCGTTTTCATTTTAAAACGCTGCAGCTCCATGTTAGTCTGTATGGGGGAAAACGGAGATATCTGAAAACGGAGGCAGGCTGCATACATTCACGTCTCTGATTGGGTCTTTTTCCTCAATATTAAGTAGCCTACACACAGTTCAGTCTTGCATTTTCTCCTTGTAAGTACAGACTTTGCAAGTTTGATATGGAAAACAAACTCCCGAGGACACGTGGGGTGAATCTTCAAAGGGAACAGTGTACATTATAACCTCATTTACTCATCATCCTGGCTACGTTGTTTTACTTTCTTAACAATAAAATGAAAACATGATATTATAAAGGAACTGCCTATTTTCATTTTGATTTTAACAACTTAACAGGCACCAAAAATGTTGAGATGTCGTGACCGTCATTTTCACGGTATGCATATTCATAACAAAACTGAGCCTAAAACATAACTGCCTCCTTTCATTTTCACTGAAAATACAAAACACACCCTCTATTTTGCTGAATATCAGTTTTAATAATCAACAATGGCCATTTAAAAAAAAAAAGGCAAGCAATCAATGAAATGTGCAGAATCAGTGTACGTGATTACATACATTAATATATTAACTTATCTTTGCACTCAGCCAAAACATGTTACCTGAGAACAAGTAATAGATTCAAAAGACCAAAGTCGGGGAATATGCAAGTGCTGAAACAGTACTGATTTGCTGTCGTATTCACATGCTCAACAGAAATGGCTGTGATTGGCCATAAAGTTAATCAGTTCCCCAAACTCACCGCTATTTACTGAGTGTGATCACAGATACAGGTACACTGTAGCGTTTTAAAGTCGCAATTCATCAGCGGATCGCTCGTATGTCAGCTTATAGACAAACCAGCTGATCAACATGACATGAGTTTGGTGAATCGATGACTTTCATGGACAATCACAGTCATTTCTGTTGAGCATGTGAATACAATGGCAAAATCAGCACTGTTGAAGAACGTGCTCAATAGTGCTTAAATGTCAGGGATTGGACATTTTTAAAATTTCAGTATCGATTGGTACTGAATTCTAGTTTGTGACAACCCTAAAAATATAGAAAATAAAACAACAAATAGGTAACCCAAACTGCATATTTGAGCATATATTTAAACCTGTGGAAAGGAAAAGTGCACAAACACCTACAAGTCAGATCATCTGACCCCCGACTGACAGTACTGCATGACTAATGTTGCCATGTAATTGCTTTAAAATGTATGCTGAAAGAACCTGAACTAGTTTCTATGATGCATGATGGTTCAAAGAGAGGAATTATAACTTGACATTTGCGAACTAAGGTGAGTGTCACATAAGGAACTGGCCGTCTTACCTGTCGAACAAAGCTGTTGGAGGTCGTGTCGGAGGAGGTGCTTCCATCTGAGCGTTTGAAGCGACTCTTTCTCTTTGCATACTTCCCCTGAAAGAGGGAACATTAGAGATATTAGGGGAGATTAGAAATAATGGTCACTGTTTTGTATTCATGCCCACTGTGAATTCCACATCCTGTCTCTGTGTCCAGATATGATTACCCATAATTACTCATGTCCGCCAGTTGGATTCGGTAATCTGATTGGCCTTAACATTGGCCAATGGCCTGGCTGCCCTCGGCAGACCCCTCTATGTGGCATTTATAGGCACCAGACTCCGTTGCCATGGAGACCAGAAGGCGGCTAATTGGGTTTGGTGGCACTAAAAGAGCCTGATGGATCAGGCTTTACAGTAACATGCTCAAAACCCACATTCACAACACTGCACACAAGCTTACTGAAACAAAGCATGTTATCAAACCTCTTTATCAAATGTCCAAATCTGACCAACAGTCAACAGACACATTCAACAGATAATCCTGTAAGACTTGCCTTACAATCAGAGTAATGCAAGTAATGAAAAGTAATGAAAGGGTTTACACCTGGACTTCCAGAAAAACAACCTTCAAATGGCTTTCGTAATGCTGAGACTGGATATGAGAAAAAAAAATGAGATAAGAACATTATTATCACGGGGTCATTTAAGGTTCAGACAGCTAATATAAATTCATGATGAAGCACATCTGAAAGCTGCCGTGTAACATTTTCCGTGACTGAGTGGTGATCTAAAATGTACAAATATTTGTGGCTTAAAAAGTAAATACCTCTGTAAGCAAGCAGGCTAGTGCAAAGTCGGGCACATTTGCACTGCAATTGATTCCGGGAGCACACAGACAGAAAAACATGCCTCAGCGCTTGTTTACTTTAACTACATTATCATTATACAAACACAAACTAATTACAAGCTTACATACAGTTGAAGTCAGAATTATTAGCCCCTTTTGATTTTTTTCCCCTTTTTTATTATGTTTAACAGGGCAAGGAAATTTTCAAAGTATGTCTGATAATATTTTTTCTTCTGGAGAAAGTTGTCTATGTTTTATTTTGGCTAGAATAAAAGCAGTTTTTTAAAAAAAATTTTATAAAACATTTTAAGGTCAAATATATTAGCCTCTTTAAGCTTTATTTTCTGATAGTCTACATACAGAACAAACCATCCAAATACAATAATTACCTAATAATAATAATATATAATAATAATAAATACCTAATAAACCTAGTTAAGCCTTTAAATGTCACTTTAAGTTAAATAATAGTTGCTTGAAAAAATATTAAATATTATTTACTGCCATCATGATCAAAGATAAAATAAATCAGTTATTAGAAATAAGTTATTAAAACTATCATGTGTAGAAATGTGTTGAAAAAGTTTGCTCTCCATTAAACAGAAATTGGGGAAAAAAATAAACAGGGGGGTTAATAATTCTGACTTCAACTTGTAAATCATTCTACAATGCTATATTTTCACCAATATTAAGCATCCTTAACTCATTTTTTTTTTTCTGATTCCTGTGTGGTCTATACTAGGGTTGTGCCGATAGACGATGCCAACTTCACAGTGCTGAGCCGGCATCGCGATCCATCGCCCTGCCCCACATTTATATTAATATATATAACTTATTATCTGCACGTCACCTTAATAGCAATAACGGTCTTTTTATGAGCTGTGTTAAATTTTACATATAGCTGCCACTTGCATGGCTAACAGCATCGTGAGGATTAAATTAAGGATTATACAGTGCCTCTCGTGCTTACAATGTGTAGATTCAGAGGCAACAGTGTTACCTGCAAACCCCATCCCACAGACTTTACAGTGAACGCTTTAGTTATTTTCATAGTGGACTTGAAACACTGGAAGTCTTTTGGTGTAAATGGTGGATTAACATTCAGCACATGATCACTAATAAGATGTGCCATTATTAGTAACTGTAGTAAATCTGTCAGTGTTATTTCCATTCTCTCTTCTTCAGCACTTCACATTTTCATGGTTGTAGCTTCTGACAACTGAAGGCAGAAGGCATTGACTGAGTGATTGACGGCTGATATTAACCAATCATTCGCATTCAGTTCTGGACCAGTGAGCCAATATGAAGCGCACAAAGGCGGGGCAAGCATGGCAGACTTTTTTTTACTTCAGCAAGTTCACATAACATCTGTTTTAATCTGTTCCTGTGCACTGCGTTTTTGTTTGAGGTTTACTGTATCATTATTATTCACACCTTAAAGTTTGCTTTGATTGTTCAGTATTTACATTTTACCATTACACAGACTTTACAATTTTATTTATTAGGTTTGAGTCTCTTTAACATCAATGTTTATTTTATTATAAAGAGATCAGATATTTTGTTTCAATATTTTTGTTTTTGACAATTGAAACTATTTGCCTTAGTAATGTTGTTAAATTAAAATGAAGTGATTAAATAAATAGAAAATCCTAATATTCCTAAATATATTGTTAAAAAATATTCAATAATTCTCGATATTGAATGATGTGAAACATGATAATTTGTTTTGCAATATTGCCCTAATTGATCAGAATAATTTTTAGTTTAATTTCTGTATTTGTCAGTAATAAGGTAAACCACTGGAAATATTAGCCAAGTTTCTTATAGAAATATATGTAAAGTTTTAGAAGTCAAATATGAGTTAATGGTGCTATTAAAAATTATTTTATAGCATAAAACACTAGGGTTGCACAGTTTACCGGTACTTCGGTAGCACTGCGATACTATGGGTCCAAGATACTGGTGGTGCCACTGTAGTTTGTAAACGGTAGTATCGTCATTAATGGTTCTACAATATGTTGCATGTGGAAAAATCACTAAAATGCTCAAACATTTGTGCCAGCAAATAATTAATAGACCACTTTATTTTAATTTCTTTTTAACTGTCTGCAAACGGGTCATAGTTTGCTGCAGTCATGACAGGTCATAAGGCGTGATCAATTTTGTATTTATTTATTTTATTATTATTATTATTATTGCAAAAACAACAAAAGAGTTACAGTAAATATAAAAAAATAGGCAGAAAGAGTCAGTACAAATAATACGTTTTCAATAATAAGGGATTTAAGCTATTAATTAATACAGTATTGCGATACTACTTAGTATCGTGATACTTCAGCTGGTATCGTGGCCTGAATTGATGGTATCGTGACAATCCTACACCTCATTCTTTCTTTCAATAATTGTAGTATTTTGTTTTAAATGCATTTGTTTAGAATTTGTTTATATTTGCATGTAATATTTAGATTTTATATTTAAGTTTTGTTTTAACTGCTGTATTAGTTTTTTTAATGATTTAACAATAATGAAAAAACAACGTTATTGGATTTTTTTCTCATTACACCATCCAAAGACTAAGCAGTATTTCACAAAGCACATGCTGTATAAAATGTTTTAAACCACATCTTGACATACTATAAAATGTTTGATTGGAAAGGCCTGTGAGCAGCAGGAAATGTTCATATACTGCAAAAAAAAAAAAATAGATCTGAGAAAGGCCAGCAAAATGTCAAGGGAGAGAGGAGGGATGTATTGCTATGGTGATGAGAGGCTTCCTGTTGACAAACAGCCTCTGAGGCTAATTGGGTAATTAAGGGAGGGAAGCTGTATCACGGGGAAGAGGGAAGGTTTTTAGAGTTACACAGTGTCACCACTAGTTCATCACAGAAAATGAGAAGAGAAGAGAAGAGAAGAGAAGAGAAGAGAAGAGAAGAGGCTGTAAACACTGACCTTTATACCTAATCCCAATTCTATACCTTAGGCAACGGGTGTCAAACTCAATTCCTGGAGGGCCGAAGCCCTGCACAGTTTAGTTCCAACCCTGCTCCAACACACTTACCTGTAGGTTCAAACAAGCCTGAAGGACTCAATTAGTTTGATCAGGTGTGTTTAATTAGGGTTGGAACTAAACTGTGGAGAGCTGCCGCCCTTTTGGAACTGAGTTTGACACCTATGCCTTAGCCTTTTGCCATACCCAATTCTCTTTAGCCTGAAGGCGAAGGGCTAAGGAGAAGGGCTAGATACCCCTTAAAACAGATTTTTCAGGATCACACTCGAAACCAAGGGGTACAAAAGTTTCCCAGAATACACCATCTACAACGGCAGCATGACTACACACATAGGTCAGGAGATGCACAAATGAGTGTTTTTTTGTTATTGTTATACATTTTTACAACAAACAAGCACATGTTTTAATACATTATTATTCCCGTTCGTGTTTTACCTACATGCTTTTTAAAAAATGCTAAATTTTGCTAATAATCCCTAATGATAACTCCTGTATAGTAGTCCCACAACATTCTGACATTTGAATACCCTGTCAGAAAAGTTTAGTGGCGAGGAATGGGCTTTTTACAGTGTCTGGTATAACATTAATCTTGTTTTCGTGTGTTTACATAGATGAATATTGAAAAAATATATATACCAGCCTGGGAGTGGGGTTTATTTAAATTTTAGGTTTCATGATGTCCCAAATCCAGAATGGAGCTCATCTCTACCAACTACAACCCCAAATCAGAAAAGGTTTGGACAGGAGCCGTTTAGGGCTAGCAATCACATAAATTGGTTAAATAATGATGTGATTTGAAACAGGCGATGTCAACAGCTGAGTGTAATTATGATTTAGTGCAAAAGCAGCATTCAAAAAAGGTCTAGTCCTTTAGGAGCTAAGATAGGCTGAGGATCGCCCTTTTGCTAACAAATACATGGGAAAATTATTGAAATGCTTAAAAACAATGATCCTTAAAAAAAAGATAGGAAGAAATTTGGAGATTTCACCTTCAATGGTGCATAACATCATTAAAAGATTCAGGGAATCTGGAGGAATTTCAGTACATAAATGACAAGGGCGCAAGCCTAAGCTAAACAACTGTGTTCTCCGATCCCTCAGGCGGCACTGCATCAAGAATCGTCATTCATCTATAAGCGATATCACTACACAGGCTCAGGACTACTCTGACAAACCTGTCAAATACCACAATACATAGCTACATACACAAATGCCAGTTAAAACTGTGCTGTGCCAAAAAGGAAGCCCTGTGTTACAGTGCCCAGAAGTGCAGTCGACTTCTCTGGGCTCGGAGGCATTTGGGATGGGCCATCACACTGTAGAAACGTGTACTGTGGTCAGATGTGCTCCAAAGAAGAAAGGGATCATCCAGACTGTTACCAGACTGTTTAGCATTATTGTCAATGAAAGTGAATTAGACTGGAAGTCTTGAGCCAAAAAGGTTGCAATGGCTGTGGCCGCTCATACATAAAGAATAGGGTCAATAGAAAACTCTGAAACACCAAAGTTTCTTTAAAGTCATCATGAAATGGACGATTTGGAATGGAAGTCCATTTCCCCCCTATCATGACATACATCCAAATGAAATGGTTTCTGGAATGAAAAAAATAATAATAATTGAAACTGATTGGATTGTTGGAAGATGAGCGTTGCTAACAAAACAGAGGAAGATTTGAATTCCAGTTTATTTCGATGGCTTTCAGGCTTACTGTGCTTGATACTACCATGATAATAAGTGTTAAATACATTTACAGTTGAAATCAGAATTATTAAACCCACTTTATTTTTTATTTTTTAAATATCTCCCAAATTATGTTTAACAGAGCAAGGAAATTTTCACAGCATGTCTGATAATATTTTTTTCTTCTGGAGAAAGTCTTATTTGTTTTATTTCGGCTAACATAAAAGCAATTTTACATTTTTTAAAATCCATTTTAAGGTCAATATTATTAGCCCCTTTAAGCTATATATTTTTTGATGGTCTACAGAACAAACCATCGCTATACAATAACTTACATAAATACCCCAAATAACCTAGTTAAGCCTTTAAATGTCACTTTAAGCTGCATAAAAGTGTCTTGAAAAATATCTAGTAAAATATTATTCACAGTCATAGTGACAAAGATAAAATAAATCAGTTATCAGAAACAAGTTATTAAAAATATTATGCTTAGAAATGTGTTGAAAAAAACTTATTTCTGTTAAACAGAAATTGGGGTAAAAAATAAATTAATAATTCAGGCCAGGGGGTTTAATACTTCTGACTTCAACTGTAGCTCATCCATCAACATGTCCTGTAGGATGCAATTAAGACCACAACTCTTATGATTCCACACTCAGAGCATTATCAAACTACACCTTTGCATGTTGTGAATACGCTTCCTCCAGTGGCAAAAATGACATATTTGCCGTTCAAACACAAATTGTGTAAAAAAAGAAAATCTCCCTTTTATGGGAGTCAATGATCAGACAGCATTTTTACACTCTAAATAAGTTTGAAACATGATATCATATTCTAGGACTCCTTTAAACCCTTTGTTCTTGAAAGACACACTTAAGGTCCTAACCTTCACAAAGACTCGGCAAAACTAGGGAATATGCCTCTTTTGTACTCAAACAGCTTGTTCACACACATTTGGTTCTCAACACACCGCCTCCTCACATCTATGTATAGACATGATTCAGACAGAGCAGCTCTCCACAGCACAGGTCACACACATTCACACTAACTGCATTATATAAAGAGCATTATATAAATACAGCCCTAACAATCAGAAACACTACTGAAACATCCATCCACAACGCCAAGCGCAGTAGTACGCTGTGCTGGACGGGATGATGATGAGTGGCTTTTATGGAGCAGGTGCACATTCATACATCAACCAATGAACCATCCTCTAAGTCTGAAACAAACCAGGAAAAAAGCAAAGAGAAGAGAAACTGAGGGGAAAAAACCCAGTTTGAAACCTCACACTGAAGTTAAACCTTCAGTAACACTTCAGTATGGGGACCAATTCTCACTATCAACTAGTGGGTGGCTTGTTACCTCCCTATTATAAGGACTTTGGCTGTTTTTTAGTACTTAAAAAAGTATATATTCTGCATAATTTTATTCTATATGCCCAGGGAGCAAATTACAGGGAGGTTTGGGGGGGAATGACCCCCCCCCACGAAGGATTTTAAAACAAGATCAATGTGGGGGTTGAATCTGAGAATAAGTTCACTCTGATCTGTATTTTAAATAATAATGTTAATAATTAAAATAATAGATATCCATTTGTCCACCCCTATAACGGTTCATACCATTATGAATGCAAAATTCGCGCCAATCAGTCTATGCGAGAAAAAAAGTCACTCAACGGTCTGAAACTGGCACATTTAAAGCTCCGATAGACACCGTAAAAGTTCACAAGACTGATTTCTCATAATATACGTGTTTGTTTCTACATAATGCCTAAAATTAAAGTCAAATTAGATGCATAGTTTGTATAGTTTGACCTAGAGTAAGCCGAAAATAGCTACTGGGGTCAAAATACACCAAACATCCCACAAAAAAATATAAATTAGATGTAATTTAAATAAATACATAAATTTGATTCACTGAAGCATGTATTACACCAACTAACATTACTGAAAAAGTTGCCCCCCCAATCGTCAATGTATAATTTGCACACTGTATATGCCTAATCCTATCCAATACATAAACCCAACTATTGCCTATTAATAAAGAGCAAATTAGGAGTTTAATACGCTAGTCTTGGTTGAAAGTTTGTTAATATCGAGAACTGTACTTTAAAATAGTGTGACCAAACTTTCTTGTCAAATCATAAATAAAAAAGTGACCAACTTAAAATATAGATAGCAAAAGTGAAGAGTAAATTGCTATTGAGAAGCTGTTTGAAGTGTACAATCTTGAGTTTGTATTGTCTGAGCTGTTGTTGTTCAAATGTTGAAATGGTCTGCTATTTAAAGTCAATCAAAAATAAACAAAGGAAAGAAAAATATAGTGAGTTGCAAAAGTGTGTGTGTGTGTGTGTGTGTGGGGGGGGGGGGGGGGGGGGGATATAGCCATTTTATCAAGTTTTACTATTTTTTTAATCCACTCACCTGATCCCCAGGTCTGTGGGAGCACTTTTAGCTTAGCTCACCTTAGAATAAATCATTGAAATGGATTACAACATTAGCTTCCTACTAAAACAAATCATAAAAGAGTTCTGATAATTTTAAAATCTGTAGAGTTCCTTTAAAGGGCTAGTACATCAAAATACTGTATATATAATATATATATATATATAGACAATTTACTCACTTTCCATTTATTCCAGCCCTACAAGAGATTCTTTTATCAGATGAACTGGGATTTTATATGCAAGTAAATAAAGGGCCTGCTTTTAACTTTGAATACATTTTAATATCAATTAAATAACATCCCATTGTCATTCGGCAGAAGATATTTATACACGTAGGCATGGAGTGATAAGATTTCAAGATTTACCGCGGTTTGAAAAAGTCAAGGTTTTAAAACTGCAAAAATCTTCTGTTATACAGTTTCTAGGGTATATGTAAAGGTTTCTAATGTATTTTTATATGTTCTGAAGAAATCTGTGTTTTTTTAACTAATGAAAACAGCAAAAGTCAATAATTTATCTGAATTATTTAGCCTGTTTTCCCAGGGATGGGCTGCAGCTGGAAGGGTATCCGCTGTTTAAAACATATGCTGGATAAGTTGGCGGTTCATTCCGCTGTGGCGACCCCAGATTAATAAAGGGACTAAGCCGAAACGAAAATGAATGAATGAATATTTAGCCTGTTTACTGTTCCGAAATATTATAAAAGTGAATTGTAATTTGAAAAATGTGAAATTTAATACTGTATGTTGTGTTCAATGGGGAATTTTTTTTAATTTTTATTTATTTATTTATTTTTAACTAAGACATTTTTAGTGCTGTAATCACAATTTCTTTAGAGCTGTAATTACAATAACTTGCTACCAAGAAATTTTTATTCAAGGTTATCATACCATCACAAAATTATACCGGCCCATGCCTAAACACAAGTATTTTGATCTGCATTGTTTTATTATTTTAATTAACTTTTTTTTTGCTGCAAATGAGTAAATCCTAGTAACAGTTTTTGTTTTGCTGCTTAAAACCCCTTTTATCTGATGGATGGATGGATGTGTACATGTGGGCGTGGTTTTGGGGTAAGTCCCCCAAATATAGAAGCATTGAGATGACATCACATTTTACAGCGTATGCTGACATCATCTTTTCATTACTCAGAGTGTCAGACACTTTTTATTAACTTATAATTCAAATGTTGAGATCCCGGATGTACTATCAGACTTACTTTTAACTGAACACTAATAGGTTAATCAACAGCGATGGTTCATAACTTATAAACAGAATAGACTGTCATAAAATTGCAACACTGTAGTAGGCCAGCTGTCAGGAGAGAGAGAGAGCGAACATGGACACGGTGATGGAATCATGTAAATCCCATTTAATACCAAAGATAATGCAGTTTTGAAACATTTAAAACAACTGTCCGTCATTCACACACAACTTTATGTCGCTTTCCTTGCAGAATACTTGTTTACAACACTGTTGTGGCAAACGCGTGAAGATGCCGTCTTGTTGCCAAGTAACCACAATACGAGCAACGGTTGATAACGACTAATCTTCCCCACAAACAAAACCTCTGATTTTTCACTGAGCCTTTCTAAAACAGCGACCAAGCGGGTTAAATTTCGTCTTCCACTGGTTGCATGCACTTTCGGTATAAGCTGTAAAAGTGCCTCTCTCTCTCTTACCTGAGCGTGAGAGCCGTGGTGGTCGAACATGTCCATTTGGATTTCCTGGGTTGAGGTGGAAGGCGTCCTGGACATATTACCCTCCTGTACCATTGATTTAAACTTTAACTTCGGTTTTACTGTTTCATTTGGAGCCTGATTTGAGTTCGTTATGCATTGTGAAATAATTCAACGTAAAATTAAACAGATGAAGGTGCTTTTCCTCCTCGCAGATGGCTTGTCACCGCGCTGTTGCGCCCCCAGCCCTGCTGAAACCCTCTCCCTTAGCAAATACAACGAGCTCAGTCTCCAGCTGTTCAGCGGAGGGATCAAGCCCCGCCCTCCACATCTCATCAACCAATGAGTTGCTAATGGGGCGGGAGTTTTGTTGTGTTTCTCGGACTGATTGGTTGATCGATCAATATTACTATGAGATGGACGGTGGCAGCTCTACTCCCCATTCCATATAAAAGCGAAATGACCACACCCTTTGATTCTGCTTTATTACAGAAAACAACAATATGCCTTTGTGCCGTTTCGTAGGAAGAGTTCTTATTTTCATATGAAGAGTTCATCTACAAAACAGATTATTCAGCGTTTTTTTTTTTAAATAATGTACATAAATTACTTCAATACACGATAAACAAAACACGATTTATGAAAATTAACTAATTGTGTAGTTATTTGTTTTTGCAAATGATCTCTTCATATATTTACTGCATTATTTTGTTAATGTAGAAAAATATGACATATAAGAAATCAGAAATAGGTTTTACACGATAAGTAACTGAAAAAGCAGTCCTGTTCTCTTAAATGTCTCACATAATGTGCCATATTAGTTTCCAACTATGTCCTTTTATTCAACCTTCAGAAAAAAAAATCGAAGACGAGCCTGGAAATAATCAAATTACCAATAATAATTGAAACAATAATCAAATAATCACTAATGCTGACGTTAGACCAGTGTATTTTTTATTTTACTGTTACTATTAAATTATTGTTGTTGGGTTTTTATATAAACACCGTATTTAGAATACATTTGTATGAATTTAAGGAGAGCATTTACATGTATTTACATCTATTAAGTTACATTATTATATTTCCCCTCTGTTTGTTTCAATGCTTACTGTGTTTGTTCATTTAAACGCTTAGTTAATTAATAATCTTAGCTGTTAAATTATTACATTTAATCAAATTAATATTTTATTTGACATATTTTTATTTTATTTAAATTATGAATTTAAAAATGATTGATTCATTATTATTATTACACTTAAATCAAGCCTTATTTTATTTTCATTACTGTTCTCTTAACGTTTAATGTCTCTCAGAAATTTCAGACCACCTATCTCTCCCTTGTGGCCCCTTGGGCGTCCATAGACACCAGTTTAAGGTGTATTTATTTAATTTTTTTTTCTTTAACATTATTGTTGTTGTGTTATGTAATTATATCATATTTAGATGATTTTTAATTTTAATTAATTTTTAAGGTATTTAATGAGAGCATTTACATGTATTTACTTTCTATTAATTTTTTGTATATTTCCCTCTCTGTGTTACAGTGCTGTGTTTATTCATTTATTTACTTAATTAATAATTTAGCTGTTAATTAATTTGAGCAATTGTATTAATTTTAAACGAATTAATATTTCATTAAAATTATTTTTATTAATTTATTTGTTGATTAATTTAAAGTGGTGTATTTTTTTATTATTGTTACATTATTGTTGTGTTATGTAATCATTTCATATTTAGAATACATTTTGGTGTATTTTATTTTATTAATTTACACATTTGCTTAATCATTTTAGCTGATAAATTGTTGCATGTAATCAAATTCATATTTTATTTGATGTATTTTTATCAATTTATTTGTTGATGAATTTAAAATGATTCGTTCATTATTATTGTTATACTTAAATCATACCTTATTTTATTTTCATTATTTTTCTATACATTTTTAATGTCTCCTAGCATTTCAGACCATCTATCTCTCTCTTGTGGCTCCTTATGGGTCCGTGGACACCAGTACTATTATAGTAAAGTAAAATAAGTAAACAAATATTTACAAAAGACTTTTCCCAGACAAGAAGTCACAAAGTGCTTTACAGTAAAAGAAAACCTATATATTAAACAGGCTCGTACTAAAGCACCAAAACTATATTTTGAATTCATTACTAGTTTGTCTATTATTTCACTTTCATAGTAATGCCTAATTCGCAAGTTCTCATCTTTCAACAGGTAAAGCATTGCCGCCGTGTGGCCGTTTACAGCAATCCACAGCTTGCCTACAAAAACCGCCGCCTACATTTCCCAGCAGTATGACTAGTGGAACGTACCATTATTTTTTTGTCGAAACAGATATAGCTTATCTTTAAATATTAATATTAATGCTCGTATGTAATAAACAATATAACAGAACTCTTTAAAGTGCTAAACATATAATAAACACGTGCAAGTATTACATATAAAGTCGTTATTATATTCATATTGTCTGTGTGATAGTCCCCCCACCCCTTATGAATACGGCGGCACAGTCCTGAAATCTTCCTCATTGACAGCGGCTGCTGCTTTCCGCTGACCACCAGCCATGAGGTGCGTTCCTTTACGCGAGTTAAAATCTATTTATCTTATTAATTTAACTCGAGGAGTCGTTTTAAACATAATATCTAAGTATTTATGTAGTCGACACTCCTTGCGCTGTTAAAAACAAAGGCGATTCAACGCTTGAAGAGCGTTTGTAATGTAGCGCTGCTGCATGAGTATCGTCGCCATGTTGTGGCAAAAGCAAACGTGTCGTTTCAACGATAAAACTGTATTACGATGTGTTGAATAAAAAAATGTTATGGTAATCCGTTCGAAGTTTACCATTGTATCGTACTAATGTTTTATTTCTGATTATCTAATACGACAAACAAAGGTTGCGTGGAGTGTTCGGCCTAAACAGCCCGGCCAACAAAACGTGCTCAACATGTCTAGACATGCCCCTTAACCAGAATAGATTCATTTCGACGTTTTGCGTATTTTTAAAGCAAGTCAAGCTAGTAATTAGCAACTATATAGGGTCATTTTTGTATATTTTGCTTGGTTTGAGCAAAATGGCAGGCCTATTTTATATTGTAGATGAGTTATTCTGCGCGTGCGCACAATTTATGAAACACGTTATCAGGTTTATAGAGAATGTAGCGACGCCTCATCTAGCGCAAAAAATATAGTTTTAAAGTAATTAAATAAATATACAAATAGGTTAACTTGGCTTATAAAGCTGTACATTAAATCATTTGTTTATATTAAATCAAGAAACACTTCAGATAATGATAGTGTTTAGTGTTCTGAGAATTAAAGCTAATAAATTAAGCTTAACATGTCAGTGGGGTATAAAGTTCTAGTTGGATGTGGATCTATTGGCAAATGTTTAATCTTGTTAATTTACTTTTTAATCAACTGCACAGGAAATGAAAATCAGAAATTTACAGTTGGATTTTAAGTATGGGAGTGTTGCTAATAATTCAATCTAAATTTGAAGAGTGCTGTTTTTGTACTATAATGTAATTTTGCCTGACCTGGTCTTGATGTAGCCTTTATAGAAACGGCACCCGCTGTGTGTGTTGTACAGAAAATATATTGATCTAAAATTGTCTTTTTTTTTTTTTCTTTTTTTTTGTTACAGTATGCTCAGACTTCAGAAGAGGCTGGCCTCCAGCGTCTTGCGCTGTGGCAAGAAGAAAGTGTGGCTGGACCCAAACGAAACCAACGAAATTGCCAATGCAAACTCCCGTATGCAATTTCAATTCAGTTCATTATTTCTACAGCGCTTTTACAATGTAGATTGTGTCAAAGAAGCTTCACATAGAAGATTATAGTAAATTGAAACTGTCAATCCAGTTTTCAGAGATGAAGTTCAGTTTGGTTCAGTGTGGTTTAATTTTCACTGCTGAAAGTCCTCATTGTGTTATTTTTTATTTTTTGCCATAAAGTAACAATTTTATGTCTGTTCTTTGTTATTTAGGCCAACAAATTCGTAAGTTGGTGAAGGATGGTTTGATCATCAAGAAGCCCGTCACGGTTCACTCCCGTGCTCGATGCCGCAAGAATACTCTTGCACGAAGGAAGGGTCGTCACATGGGCGTTGGTATGAATCAATTTACTGGATAATTATACTCTGTGCATTTCATTTGTTTCAGTTTATGCATCTAAATATGAGGATATTGATCAACTTTGTCAGACTACATTGTGACGTTTTCTTTGTGTTTTTGACAGGTAAGAGAAAGGGTACCGCAAACGCACGTATGCCCGAGAAGTTGTGCTGGATGAGACGCATGCGTATCCTGCGTCGACTTCTGAGACGTTACAGAGAGGCCAAGAAGATCGACAGGCACATGTGAGCCCATGTTTAATGCTCATTTTAATTCCACAGATTGTAACCCAGATGTTTGTACTTCATAAAATATTGTGCAATAAGTTGCTGGTGTTTTAGTCTAACTACATTTTTGTGATCTCTCTCTCTCTCTCTCTCTCTTTTTATTTTTTTTTAAATTTATTATTATTATTTTTTATTTCATAAATGTAGCATACACAAGGATAGGCACCTAATGCAGGGATCCACAAATAAAAATGTCTGTTTTTTTCCCCAGGTACCACAGCCTGTATCTGAGGGCAAAGGGTAACGTGTTCAAGAACAAGCGCATCCTGATGGAGCACATACACAAGCTCAAAGCAGACAAGGCCCGCAAGAAGCTCTTGGCGTAAGTGTCCAAACAGTGTGCTCTGCAACATTATACTACTCTGCTATCTGTCATGTTTAGGGAAACATGATAAAACAAGGTCTTACTGTGCAGTGCTAATCGGTGCATGTTTCTCTCTGCAGTGATCAGGCTGAAGCTCGTCGTACAAAGACCCGTGAGGCCCGTAAGCGTCGCGAGGAGAGACAGCAGGCTAAGAAAGAGGAGATCATTAAAACTCTTTCCAAAGAGGATGAGACCAAGAAATAAGTTTGTCTTTCTGCTGTCCCCTATGTGTTGTTTAATTCACTTAAGTGATGAAAATAAACACTGTTTGTTACAGCTCTTATCTCCAGAGTGTGTTTATATGAATCTTTATGGCATTTTAAAAGCTCAGTTTTTTTTTTCTCCCCCCCAACACAGCATAAAATTTAGAAATGAAACGTGTTGTGTAATATTGGCTATGTTAGTGTATTAGTTAAGATGCAGCTTCCACTTGTGCACAGATGAAAAAAATAATGTTAATGAACTACAAACTACACTTGGTGAGAGCCAGAGACCAGGGTTGTAAAAAACTGGGTCCTGGGGGGCTGGCGTCCTGCATAATTTAGTTCCAACCCCACTTAAACACACCTGAACCAGCTAATCAAGCTCTTTCTATGTATACTCAGAACTTCTAGGATGTTGGAGCTAAACTGCAGAACACCAGCTTTCCAAGTAGAGCATCTTTTGAAAGGCTGTGTACCTGCTTCATTATACTTCATTCTTAAGAACTTTCAGGTTACAGATTGTTATAATACCATATAAAGACCACAGTTCTCAACCCAGTAAGCATGTTTTTGTTTTTAAAAAATTTCTAACAGACATCTAAACGTAGTCGTCTTGGCTAAAACATGGCTAAATTTGAGCTGTCAGTAAAAATCGAATAGATGTCTAATTTTGGCCTATTCTTAGATAAGTCATTAAATAAACTGAAATGAATGACTACACATTTAAAGTCTGTCTATATGACAACTAGTTTCGTTTTAGACCATTCTGACAGCCCAAGTTAAGCCTTGTTTAAGCCGAGCTGTCTCTGTTTAGATGTCTGTTGAACCTGTTACCAACTGTTTGCTGGGATGCCACTGCTGTTCCAGAGTAAGCAGCATTTCGTTGCGAGTGTGAAAATAACGGCATTAATTTTTTAAGAGAAGGTAAGTCTTTTAATAATATCAAAAGTGTGTGGCTTAAGAGTCAGAATTCAAGCATGTGTCAAGGAAGGGATTGAAGATTTTGGATGAGTTTAAAATTGGAGGTCTACATTTATTTTGAGGTCGGTGCCTTGAGAGCTCTTTTTAATTAAGCTTCATATAATCTAAAGCACGAAAGAAAACATTGATATTATTGAGATGCCATTATTGGTGTTAATGTGGCACTTAGTGAAAAATTCCAAGATTAACTGACACCCTGTTTAACTAGTACCCTAAAAGTGCTTTTCACTGACTGATGGAGAGACAAAGTGACTGACAGCAGGTTGTCCAGTTTGAGGACACAAGAAAATGAAAATAGATCACACTTATTAATCCAAGTGAATATGATTAAATCTGCTACTGCTCATTGTTTTGTTCACCTTTGTCTTACTAAGCAATGTTTGATGTAGCTAATTGAAATGTTAAAACTGGATATGTATAAATAAATGATCTTGACGGCTTTTAATGTTTGTCTCCATCTTGTGGATGCTTTTTTATTGTTACACACACGGGCATTGTGCTTCCTTCATGAAAATGTGTACAAATGGTTTGAATGCTTAGAAATACAACAGGAAAGTGCCTGCTGCATATGAATAGAAAAGAGGGCCTCATACAGGTGCTTTGTCAAGTCCAACACAAGCTAATCTCCACTGAAGTCCCAGAGAGTAACACTGCATTCATTCTCATAAGAAATCAGTGGCCATATCAAACAATTCTTCATTTCCACTTCCCATGGGCAGTGAGGGGACTCTAGGTATTCTCTGAACCAGATGTTTTGGGGTGAGATCACTAGTAATAAAGCGAAAAATATATAGGGGAAATGGGCGCAGTCTCAGCCGTTCCAATCACTTGCATACAACAGTTATAGCAGACACTGAAACTTCATTTCTCACTGAATGAATGGTTGATCTTACCTCCTAGGAGCAATCCATTGGTTGATTCAATGTATTTGTGTACAACAGTGAGCAAAACCAGCCATGTCTCATGTTGTACAGCTGTTACTTTCATCCTGTGATTTTTAATAATACAACAGTTTGAAAAAGTGTAAACTTCTAAGGCAAAAAACAAAAAAATAATACCTTTTTGCGCTGATCTCAGTCTCCACGAGTAGATCTTGTAATCTCCCCGTTTAGTGCTTCTCAATCTTACAGTTCAGTTTGCTGGAGAACTATCTTATGCACACTGTTTTTAAAGGAAGAACTTTAGAGACCAGTTAATATGTAACTGCATTTTCAGGTGTATACCACAACAAATCAATGATATTGTAAATTAGAAATGCATTCGAGATGCACCAAGGGTCACCAATCTCGGTCCGGTGTCCAGCAGATTTGAACTCCAACACTAATCAAACACACCTGAACAAGCTAATCAAGGTCTTACTAGGTATACTTGAAACAATCAGGCAGGTGTGTTGAGGCAAGTTGGAGCTAAACCCTGCAGGGACACCGGCCCTCCAGGACCGAGATTGGTGACCCATGGGGCAAACCCTCAAAATTAAATGAAGCTTTAAATCTAGGGTCACCAAACTTGTTCCTGGAGGGCCAGTGTCCTGCAGATTTTAGCTCAAACACACCTGAACAAGCTAATCAAGGTCTTACTAGGTATGGTTGAAACACCCAGGCAGGTGTGTTGAGGCAAGTTAGAGCTAAACCCTGCAGGGACACCGACCCTCCTGAATGGAGATTGGTGACCCCTGCTTTAAATGAACAATCCAGCTAAACCAGTGGTGGGCAAACTCGGTCCTGGAGGGCCGGTGTTCTGCATAGTTTAGCTCCATCTCTAATCAAACACACCTGAACATGCCAATCAGTGTCTTCAAGATCACTAGAAATCTATTAGCAGGTGTGTTTGATTAGAGTTAGAGCTAAACTGTGCAGGACACCGGCCCTCCAGGACCGAGTTTGCCCACCCCTGAGCTAAACCGTCTCAAGATATATCGAAGATATTCAGAAATGTGACAGACCCAGAAATGATTCATAAGATCGGAGAGTATATCGAAGTCAATCAATTGATTCTTGATTTTCACCTAATGTGTACCAGTACTACTTACATACAAATATCTGAAAATTAAGCAATTTCTCCAAAATTTGACAAGATATTTTCCAGCCTAAATTCACAGGTTGATAAGCCTTATCACCCTGCAGCCTAAGACTGGTTACTCACTGAAGGTAAGCAGGGCTGAGCCTGATCAGTACCTGGATGGAAAATCACATTGGAAAACAAGGTTTTATCGGAAGTGTTAGAGAGGCCAACAGGGGGCTCTCAACCTGTGGTCTGTGTGAGTCCTAATGCTCCAGTATAGTAAAGGGGACACAATACTGTCCGTGGGTGCCGTCTTTCGGATGAGACGTTAAACCGAGGTCCTGACTCTGTGGTCAATAAAAATCCCATGACACTTTTTGTAAAGAGTAGGGGTGTAGCCCCGGTGTCCTGGCCAAATTTCCTCCACCAGCCCTTACTCATCATGGCCCTTACCCAATCATCCCCATCCACCAAATTGGCTCCATCATGGTGTCTTCACTCCACCAATAGCTGGTGTGTGGTAAGCCGTTGTCCTGAGGCTGCCATCGCATCAACCAAGTGGATGCTGCACATTGGTGGTGGTATGGAGAGACCCCCCCTCCCCCTAACTGTGATTGTAAAGCCATACACATATGGCCATACACTATATATACACATTATGTTTCAGTTTTATTTCAAAGGTGTAAAATCTTTGTTGAAAAATCTGATTTTCAATAAAACAATTATGTCAAAATTGATCAAACATGATGTACTTGTTAAATTAGTTGTCATCAGACCTTCTGCATCGCATTGTGTTCACCAACACACACCTAAAGACTTTCAACCAGAGTCCTGAATGTGAACACAGGAAATCTCACAAAATCCCTCAAGAATTGAGAACAAACATTAGTGCTGTTGCCACAAATCGTGCAGCCGATGTTCTTTTGATTGACATTTGTGGGCATGTAAATTAAAAAAAGAAGTAAACTGCTATATGTGTAACATGCTAAGATATTTTTTCTTGGATCTTTTGGTCCACTTTTCACCTAAACTAAGCATCTTTTCCCTGTTGTTGTCAATGGAAGTGCTGGATTAAAAAATGTTTGGCAGCATTAGCTTTATTTCACATTTAATTCTGTGATGTCAGAATCGCAAAATGTTGGAGAGACTGATTAAGCAACAGAATGAAATGAACACAATATTTGTCCTGGGTTATTTGACAAGCTGCAGCATTTCTTGATTGCAGTTGGTCTCCCCGAGTAAAGTAAACTAAAACGGTATAATTTGGACTTTAGTAAGAGATGCAGATATTGATCTCTCACTGGCTAAAATGACCCAGTAGACAGTTTATGGTGCGAATGGTTCTAAGCATTATAAATGATTGCTAATAGTTGGAGGAATGTAGTTCACCTCCCTTTTGTGACCTTTGTGAGATAGACAATGCACTTGATAACGCTATGAAAAGGGCACCTATTTGACCCCTTTTTCTAAATTTAAGAAAGTATTTTGTGTCTCCAGAATGTGTCTGTAAAGTTTCAGCTCAAAACACCCATCAGATTATTTATTAAAGCTTTCAGAATATTGGGATTTTCTGCTCTGAACACATTGTAGCTGTTATTGTTGCCTTAGCCTTTAATGCTATTTCGCCCCACCCACCATTCCCACATGCCTGTCTGAGTGTCCCTCGATCTCGACCTCTGCTGCGTCAGATAAACAGCACAGTGACAGACATGAAGGAAGCAGATCTCAGGTAATGTTTGTGACAAATACTATAGTAAGACCTTTCCCAATGATTATTTGATGTATTTGTTGGGAGTTAATTCAAGCCTTTATGCAATGATGAGTACCACACAATGTCGCTACAAAGTTCACGCACATACACACACACAGCATGCACGTTTAACTTTGCACCGTTTTAGCATGGCAAATGTGACAGGATACACGGTAATACACACTGCTGTATGGATATATGTTATGTTAATGTCCAAAATAAACCTTATTTAACGTCCACAAATCGGGATTGAAAGTCGTCTTTTAGAATTGTACTGACATGCGGCTGTGATGATGAATTACAGCAATTTTACCGTCTTTAACTTTATTTATGTTTGTTTTAAAATGTTTTCAACTTGTAAAACTCATTTTGATCACATTTGATAATGATTGATGATCACAGAGAGCTCAACAGATCTTTTAATCGCAGTTGCTTTGCTCACATCCTGTCTTGTTGATACAGACAATATGTGATAATAACAGCCAATATGATGGCAACAGCTAAGAGGAAAAGGGAGATTCACATTGATGTCAAGACGAAAAAGACTGTAAACCAAACGGGGAGGAAAAAGCTGATAACAACCAATTTAAAGCAACATCAAGCTAAGGAATCATCCCGAACCTCACGGTAAACTCTATCTTTTTTAATTACCCCAGTGTGTGCTTTGCTTTACTAAAACGGTGTAGGCTCTCGCTGACCTTTAGAAATGCCATTAGGTTGTACATTAAACATTATTATGCAGGTAACATGATCATGGCATTCCTTTTCTAGAAAGGTTGTTTCATTTTAGCTGCGGCTACAGTTTAGCTGGCCTGATCTAACTCCCGCTAGGATCACGTGCGCTGTCGGCATCTGCCGCGATCGTTATGACAACAGCCATTTACATTGTTACCTCTGCCACAAAAAAAAAAACGGCTTCATTCAGGACGTCATTCAGCGATGTGATTATTTCTTACTGTAAGGATGTATACTGTAGTGCTATAATCTCCGCTTATCAGTGAGTCGCATTCTAACGAAACTGCCTTGAAGTAAAGCACACTTTTATTTTTTACGTACATCTTCGCTTTAGAATTCCTCTGTGTGAGTTAACACAGATATGGGACTGAGTGCACATTTCACAAGATAACACATTATCATTTGCCTGTCATATGTCATTACTTATTTGCTGAGCACCATATATTGTAACACAATCTACAACAGTGAAGCTTGCTATAGACTGACATTGCAAAGTAGACAAACTATTTTAGGCTTTTTCAAAGATTTAATAGCATAAAACTGTTCAACAGACTGGTTAAAAAGACTAGGGGCCCTATCATACACCTGGCGTAATGTGGCGCAAGGCGCGATGCAATTGTTGTTTGCTAGTTTCAGCTGGACGCAAGGGTTGTTTTGATGTTTTGCACCACGCTGTTTAAATAGCAAATGGATTTGCGCTCATATGTGCGCCCATAGGCGTTCTGGTCTAAAAAAGGAGGTGTGTTAAGGTGCATTGCTGGTGCGTTGCTATTTTGAGGAACTAAAATAGACTGTTCAATAGACCAGCTAAGAGGAGGTTTACAGTCCAGCGCAGAGCGCATTAGTTGTGTGCCTCGCTTACACACTGCTTAAAAAACAGGATGTACAGCAATACTCAAATATCTTTACAGATGAAAAAGAATTGAAGTATTACAAAAATTATTATTTTCTAGTCTACATAAATATAAAAACCACCGCCTCCATGTATTCTTCATTTCAGGGGGCTTTTTCAGTTTAATAATGACAATTTGCTTTTGTATAATGTTAATATTATTAGCAGTGTTATTTATTATATCCATATTTATATATATTTTTGTTATTAAAAACAAGCTTTGATTTGTCCACCTGTCAGGAGGCTCATCTCTCATTCTCGCCTTTAGATGCTCTGTTTAACTGTTTTCTCGCTAGAGAACCGTTCAGTTTTTCCACTTACAAAGTCCACCATGTAAATAGTAAATGCACTACAGCGTGACATAACTGACACTGGGAGATGAGACACTGATTGGTTTATTCTCAAAACACACCCATAATTCATTAAAGGAATAAGCTCAACCCCGTTCGACCATGAGCCGCGGCACAGAGCAGATTTTTTCGCCCTTAAAATAGCAGTGGATTCGGACACGTTCTTGATGCTTTTGCACCCTGCGCTTTGAACTTCGTGCCTAGATCGTTAAAATAGAGCCCTAGTAGTTTACCACGTTAAAATAAAGGTTTTGCTAAATAATAAGTCCTACATTTTCAGTAGTCTACTGTTCTTGCCGACACATTATTTTACATATTACTTATGATATAAATAAACAATGCATATCGGATTTTTAGTGTTCTTTGGAAAAGCTATATACTTATATATATATAAGCTGAGTCATTCTGTCACGTGATGAACGAACAACTCAAGAACCAGAAGACTTGAAAGGTGTACTAATTATCATGGCTCCTATCGACTCAGACTGTGTACATTGGTTAAGATTATGGGCTCTATTTTGACGGTCCATGCGCAGAGCGCAAAATGCAGGGCGCAAACGCTTTCAGGGCGTGTCAGGACGCATTTTTGCAAATTTAAGGACGGGAAATCTGCCTTGCGCCGCGGCGCATGGTCTAAAAGGGTTGAGTTTATTTTCTTAATGAGTTATAGGTGTGTTTTGAGAATAAACCAATTAATTTCTAGCAAACGAATAAATGAATAATAATAGCAAAATGTGCTCAAAAACTTGAGTTATATCCTAAAACACATGCTGTGCCCCATATGGTCTAAAACCTGACAGGTGGGCAAATCTAAGCTTGTTTTTAATAAAACAAATATAAATATGGATATAATAAATAATGCTGCTAATAATAATAACATTATACAAAAGCAAATTGTTATGAATGAACTGAAAAAGCCTCCCGAGATGAAGAAGACATAAAAGCAGTGGTTTTCATATTTATGTAGGCTAGAAAATAATATGTTTTGTAATATTTTAATCCTTTATATTTATATTCTATATCTATTCTTATTATATCCTATATATATATATATATATATCCTTAATATTTACATTTTTTCATATGTAAAGATATTTGCCTATTGCTCTCTTGTGCAGATTAAGCAGTGCGTAAGCGAGGCGCAACTGCGCCGGAGTTTAGACCGGGTTTCTTTTGGTCTTATGAAAAATCTATTAAAGTTTCTCAAAATAACAACGCGCCAGCAGTGCGCCTTAGAACGCCTTCCTTTTTAGACCAGAACACCTATGGGCGCACAAATGAGCGCCAATGCATTTGCTATTTAAACAGCGTAGCGCAACGCCTGAAAACGACTCTTGCGCCAAGCTGAAACTACCAAAAGACTACTGCTCCACGCCTTGCGCCACACTGTGCCGGGTGTATGATAGAGCCCTATATGTGACTGTCAGTGTAACGTGAACGAACCACTGACATTTGAAGACAATTTCACAGACAAAAGAGCAGGTAAACATTGAGTTATTATTTTTCTCCTTCTTATAGTATTCTATTTATGACTTATTTGTCGTTTGATCAACCTTTTGGGCTAGTTGTAGATGTGTTTTTAAGCTATTCATAACAGTTTAATAATATTTTGGCAAATTGAACCAAATGAACGAAATGACTCGAAAAAAGATTTGTTCATCTCGATGAACGAGACTCAAAGATCAGAGTCAGTAAAATGATCCGAACTTCCCATCACTACTGTCCAAATGATGATTTCCATCATAGGTGCCCTTTAAATGAAATAAAAAATGTTGGCCAAGGTTTTACAGCTCGAAATTAATATTAATAATTTAAGAAATTGATTTTATCGAGTCATGAATTCACTTTTTAATTTTTTTATTCTCACATGTAGGAGCCTCGTTATAACATGTTTTTTTTTTTTTTTTACATTTAAAGTAAACAATGTAAACATTGTCACAAATTCTGCTAACTAAACAGAAATATTTCTAAAAAATCTTGAAAAGCAAGAATGTAAAATCCTCCTACTTTGACTAACAGCTCATAAACAGATTAGGAAAATGACAGAACATGACAGTTCAGTTAATTTGACAGAAGATCTCAATTTAAAGGCAATGCAAAGACATAAGAAAGCAAGGACAATGCAAGCTCATGAGCTAATATGATGCATGTAAGATGCTCACAAATATATACCATTGCATTAGGATTATTGAATACATTAATGCACACTAAGATGCACATTGTAAAAATGGCAAATGTTTGATTTTACTTGAACTACTGGAACACTTCAACCATCACTGTCAGCAGGCTTGTTGCTTTTCAGCTCTCCAAATCATTTTTAGATTGCCCGTCACCTTCTGGTTCCTCTAATACTGTAGACACACAAGGCACAGATGTTGATGCTATGAAAAGCAATGGGATACAAACCACACTAAACATCTGGCTTACCTTCATCCATGTTCAGAGGTAGCGTCATATTTGTCTGACCAAGTGGATTTCTGCTGACGCACACTGGAGAACTGATGCTGGTGAGGTCCACCACTTTCATGGTGAAGGTGCTTCTCACAGTGATGTGGCCGTCTGATGATACAACGGTGTTAAAATCAATGTTGTTCTGCAGAGGCCAGTGAACATCAGGCAAAGGCACACCCTGACTGACACACACACAGGTGAGCAGATCCTGCTTCAGAGAGCACGTGGAGCTGTTCAGTATCTGAGGATGAGCTGAAACACACACAAACATCATCACTAATCAGAGGCTTTTCAGTGTGAATCTGGATGTAAAACAATGTACTGCTCTTACAGTGAACGGTCAAAGTCATGGTAGCACTGGCGCTCAGATTTTTCCCGAACGTAGCTTCACATGTGATCTCGGCTTGGTGATCCTCGGGGACGGGTGTATAGAAGAGCTGTTCGCTGTACATCAAATATGTTTCCATTTCCCTGGGAAATCTCAGACGACGGAGCTGCTTTGAGTTCAGCCCCTTCCAGGTTACTATTGGATCACTGTTGAGGCAGAGGTCTGGAAGACTGCAGATTATTATTGTGCGTTTTCCAGCTTCAAGGACTTCAGAGTGTAGACTGATGTTCAGTTTTGCTGGGAAAAAAAGAAGTCAAACAGACTGTGTTATTTATCAGAATAGAGGCATTGGTTGTTCAAGGGAGAGTTCACGCTAAACTGAAGAAGGTGGCTGGTAGACATTTCTGTGTGCAGAATGTTTGCATGTTCTCCATGTGTTTGCGTGGGTTTCCTTCTGGTGCTCCGGTTTCCCTAACATGGATGAACTAGATTGGCAGTTTTGTATGAGTAAAATGTGTGTGTGAATGTGAGAGTGCATGGGTGCTTTCCAGTACAGGGTTATGGCTGAAAGGGCATCCACTGTGTAAAACATATGCAGAAATAGTTGGCGGTTTATTCTGCTGTGGTGACCCCTGATAAATAAAAGACTAAGCCAAAGAAAAATAATTGAATGACATGAACTGCAATGGAAATTGCATCCTAAAATAGGTACTTGTTTTGGGAAAAAAGGTCCTTTGCATATCTATTTCAGAAGCTAAAGTAGTATGTTATTTGGGTTGTACTTAACTGTTCTATTACTATTTCAACAGGGCCACCATACTGTTACTTCAAAACAAGCTGCTCAAAATAACATACTTCCAAAGGCCCTTCAGGATTAAGGATTTTTGTTGGACATTTTTTTCTTCACATACCCTTGATCCAAAGCTTTTAATTTTGCAGGTAAATTAAAGAGGATTGCACCATTAATTAAAGACTATTAGAATATATATTATAATATATTGTAAGGAGGGGCGGTGCCTCAGTGATTAGCACTGTCGCCTCACGGCAAAAAGGTCGCTAGTTCAAGTCCCGGCTGGGTCAGTTGGCATTTCTGTGTGGAGTTTGCATGTTCTCCCCATGTTGGCGTGGGGTTTCCTCCGGGTGCTCGGGTTTCCCCCACAGTCAAGACATGAGCTAAATTGGCCGTAGTGTATGTGTGTGAATGCTAGAGTGTATGGGTGTTTCCCAGTGTGTGGTTGCGGCTGGAAGGGCTGTATAAGTTGGTGGTTCATTCCGCTGTGGTGACTCCTGATTAATAAAGGGACTAAGCCAAAAAGAAAATGAATCAATGAGTTATTATAATTCTATATGATTCTTAATGAGTACTGCATTATTCCATATCAAACATAAATAAATATAAAGTCTCAAAATTTCACTGGTCTACTTTGTTTTAAAGTCAGCGTGCACCAAGAAGTTGCTGAGACTTTTGTTTCAGTATGCTGATGTACTTCCCACTTAAATGGAATGGGGGCGGGGCTTTTCTTTTGTGCATTATTCCCTCATAACAAAACAATGGTCAGAGGGATGTGGTTAAAAATATTGTGGATGTCAAACTGCTTCAACAGAGAAGGACCGCCGCTCCAAACGCAGGGCTGGACCCAGTTTTTCAAAGGAAATCCAGTGGGATTTTGGATCACAGATCAAAACCTGGAAAAGGGTTTTTCAAATGTAGGGATTTTGAATTAAGATCAGACCATGTTATTCAATCTTACAGTGCACCCAGGAAGTATTCACATCGCTTCACTTTTTCCTAATTTTTTATATTACAGCCTTATTCCAAAATGGATTAAACTCATGTATTTCCTCAAAATTCTACATACAATACCCCATAATGACAATGTGAAAAAAGAGTTTTTGAAATTGTTGCAAATTTATTAAAAATAAAAAAAGCTGAAAAAATCACATGCACAGAAGTATCCACAGCCTTTGCTGTGAAGCTCTAGATTGAGCTCAGGTACATTCTGTTTCCACTGATCACTCCTGAGATGTTTCAACAGCTTAATTGGAGTTCACCTGTGGTCAATTAAGTTGATTGGACATGATTTGAAAAGGCATACACCTGTCTATATAAGTTCCAGGGTTGACAGTGCATGTCAAAGCACAAACCAAGCATGAAGACAAAGGAATTGTCTGTAGACCTCCGAGACAGGATTATTTTGAGGCACAAGGCTGAGGAAGGGTACAGAAAAAATTCTGCTGCTCTGAAAGTTCCTATGTGCACAGTGGCCTCCATAATCCGTAAGTGGAAGATGTTTGAAACCACCAGGACTCTTCCTAGAGCTGACCGCCCATCTAAGCTGAGTGATCGAGGGACAAGGGCCTTAATCAGGGAGGTGATCAATAACCTGATGGTCACTCTGTCTGAGCTCTAGGATTCTTCTGTGGAGAGAAGAGAACCTTACAGAAGGACAACCATCTGTGCAGCAATCCACCAATCAGGCCTGTATGGTAAAGTGGCTACCATACAACTGTTTGGAGTGAATGCCAGGTGTTCCGTTTGGAGAAAACCAGGCACCGCTCATCACCAGGCTAATACCATCCCTACAGTGAAGCATGGTGGTGGCTGCATCATGCTGTGAGGATGTTTTTCAACAGCAGCAACTGAAAGACTAGTCAGGATAAAGGGAAAGATGAATGCAACAATGCACAGAGACATCCTGAATGAAAACCTGCTTCAGAGTGCTCTTGACCTCAGATTGGGGCGACGGTTCATCTTTCAGCAGGACAATGACCCAAAGCACACCGCCAAAATATCAATGGAGTGGCTTCACAACAACTTGATGAATGTCCTTGAGTGGGTCAGCCAGAGCCCAGACCTAAATTCTATTGAACATCTTTGGAGAGATCTGAAAATGGCTGTACATCGTCGCTTCCCATCCAACCTGATAGAGTCTGAGAGGTACTGCAAAGAGGAAGGGGCAGCAATTCCCAAAGACAGCTGTGCCAAGCTTGTGGCTTCATATTCAAAAAGACTTCAGGCTGTAATTGCTGCCAAAGGTGCATCAACAAAGTATTGAGCAAAGGCTGTGAATACTTCTGTACATGTGATTTTTCAAGTTTTTTATTTTTAATAAATTTGCAACAATTGCAAAAAAAATAAACTTTTCTCACAATGTCATTATGGGGTATTTGTTTTATTTAACTAATATAAAGTATTTCCAGCTGAAATGGAATATTAAGTAGGGGGTGGGGTTTTATCTTTGCTTTCACTCACAACACATTAAATATGCTCCCCCAGTGGATTCACTTGCACAGATTAATTGTCACCTTAAGACTATCAATGTGTGCTAACAAAATAAAACACATACCAGCAGAATAAGACACCGCGACTCTCTCATCGTAAACATGTGTTTCATTGGTTCCCCATTCTAACATGACTCCATATTCTTCGACTCTTTCATGTCCGCTGAAGTCCCACAGAACGATGCTGCATTCTTCTAGAATAGAAGCCAGTGGTCTCAGCAGGCCGTCCTTACGCTCCATATCTCGTGGGCTGATGGGGAAGTCGGGGCTCCCACTGAACCAGACCAGCCGGCCTGAATGTGTTCTCATTGGAGCAGAATACGCACAGGGGATCTGTGCACATCCCGCCAAAGCAGGGATGACATTCTTGTCCAGTTTCAATTTAAACTCATAATCACCTGTATGAAAGAGTTATCACAGTAAAACAGCATTCAGGGTATATACAGGCTTTAAACAGTAAATCTAATGGCGAGTTCAGAATGTACGATTTTCAAAGTAGTGGCATCACAGATGTTTTTACCCTGCACGACTATCCGGGGTAGCGCTCTGATGGTGCTGTGTTTACAATGCAAGATGGATCAGTGACAGGGGGTTTCACACTGCATGACTTTACAATAGGAAGAATCGCAGACAACTTTGTCCAAACTACGTCTCACAACCAAAACCATTGCGAGAAGTGTCATGGAAACAGTGCGAGCTAACATAGTAGGTCATTTCAAGAGTTCACACTTAGCTGATGATTGATTATAAAGCTTGTTTGGCATGCTGAGCCCTGAGCTCATAAGATCCTTAAGCCCGGGGCTCCTTCCCATTTGCAAGGCGAGAGTGGAGTTTGAGCTCAGGTAGATCTCGAGAACTCCCCTGTGGTAGTAGCTAATGAACAGATAGTGATTGCTCTTAAGAGATAACTGCTTACTAGGAGCATGTCTATGGTGCCGATTTGGATTAGTCAGTTAACTTAAGTTGCATGTTTTTGGACTGTGGGAGGAAACCGGGGGAAACCCACGTGAGCACGGGGAGAACGTGTAATCTTCGCATAGAAATGTTGACTGGCTTGGTAAGGACTAGAACCATTGACGTTCTTGCTGTGAGGCAACAGTGCCAACCACTGGGCCACCCATCTAGGAAAGGAGGTGGAGTAGGGGTGAAAGAGGGAATTCTTGAAAACGAAGATGGCTGTTATATGGAACTTTGGCTATTTATAGTGGCTTAGGAATTGTCTGATTGATGAATCATAAATTGAATAATGCGGGACCAGCTGCTAGCAATCATAAGCACATAATCCTCTCCAAGTTAGTTTATAAATAAATTTCACTTGTTATTAACTAAATAATGAGAAATAAGCCTTTAATGGGGTAGAAAATTTATCAATTAGCAATTTCTACTTAACTTTATTTCCTTATCGGCCCAGTTGTGGTTTTGTTCAGGTGACACGTCAAACAGACACAGGTGCTGCTGCCAAATTTACACTAGTTTTTCCTCCATTTCTTGGGTTCAGATAGACTGAAAATGAGCCTTTTTAACTTTTCCCCATTCTCCTGCTGGCCTGCAGATACCTATACTAGTAGATTGGGATGGGTACCGAAACTTGGTACTTTATCGGTATCGGTGCTAAATTATAAAAGACAGAAGTATCGATAAGCTCTGACATTAACGGTTCAGCTATCTGTACTGGAGAATTATTGCTGAATAAGCATTACTTACAGTAGCATAATTTAACTGACCAACCTTTTTAAATTCGTCTGCACAGTTGGCAATCTCTCATGAGAAATGCTTGTGTTTCCAGCAAGCGCATCCAATATAAAAGCCTTTACAAGATCCTCCAAAACTGTATTAAAAACACAGATAAACTCCCAAAACACTGTTACCCCTGGTTTATGTGAGTGTGTTAATGAAAAATCATAAACATTATCTCATTTAACTGCATGTCGCAACTCAAAGAGGGTATTTTCAACTCCAGGGAGCACAATAAACCAAGAAAGATCCCGGCTTCAGCCAGAAAAGGCAAACATGTTGATTTTTCACCAGAAGAAAAGTTAAAAACTGAGAGTCATTTTACTTCAAACCATTGTACATTGTCGGTGGGGTGTCGTGGACGAAAGTGCAGAGGGTTGGGGAGTCACGGAAGAAAGTGAAAGTGAACAGCGGACAGGGGAGGAGGGCGGTTGAAGAGGGGGACTGGTAAAATTAGGTGCCGAATAAGATTTCAGAGATGTGTTCCGGCACAAATTAAGCTCTGGCTGCACTGCTTTGGCAATACAAATGTAGAGTTATTTGTCATGCCAATAAAGCACCTAAATGTGAAATGTGAATCTAAGAGCGCGTGCATCCACCGTGGTGCTCTGTGTTTGTGTGACTGAGGGAGAGCGCACGCATCCACCGTGGTGCTCTTTTGTGTGTGTGTGTGTGTGTGTGTCGCTTGTAATAGGCTGACTGGACTCTGTAACATCCAGTTGGGTGTTTTCTGGAAGGCATATTTAATCACTATACATTATTCCTTGGCTCATTATTGTACCTGCCATGTGTATAGAAAGAATGCTGATATGATATATGAAACTCAATTGGTAGTTGGCAAATTGAGTGATATGTTTGTAAATCTGACTTTAATAGTCAGTGCTTCACCAGCCACAAACCTCACCGCACGTCACGCAGCACTCATGTCTCATCACAAAGGGGCAAACAAAACTGACATTTAGCCTACAATCCTTGCACAACCTACAATTTTATCTGTTATCTGTCTCTTTTGGTAGTACCCAATTTAACGTGAGCTTTTGAAAACCAGATATAAATTGAGCGGGAATGGTCGGGTCGCGTCGGGTGGACAAAGCAGTGGCGCAGTAGGTAGTGCTATTGCCTCACAGCAAGAAGGTCGCTGGGTGGCAAATTCGATCCTCTGCTCAGTTGGCGTTTCTGTGTGGAGTTTGCATGTTCTCCCTGCGTTCGCATGGGTTTTCTCCGGGTGCTACGGTTTCCCCAACAGTCCAGGTACAGGTAAATTAAGTAGGCTAAATTGTCCATAATGTATGAGTGTGTGTGAATGAGTGTTTGTGGATGTTTTCCAGAGATGGGTTGCGGCTGGAAGGGCATCCGCTGTGTAAAAACGTGCTGGATAATTTGGCGGTTCATTATGCTGTGGCGACCCCAGATTAATAAAGGGACTAAGCCGACAAGAAAATGAATGAATGAATGGTCAGGTAGAAAACGGGGCGGGGCAGGCAGCGGCTGAACAAAGACATAAATATACGGACAAAGAATATACGGCGAAAGCGGTATAAAACCTGGCGGGAGCGGGATTCAAATTTCAGTCCCGCAAAGATTTCTATACCCATCCCTACTAGTGGATGCTGCTCTCTCATTGGCTGTAGGTGATCGCAGATGTTATTTTCAATCATAACATATTTCACACAGCATGATTTGAATCGCCAACAGCTCCAGATACTTAGCATGCCAAATATCTGATGGGTGTCGGCGTCTCATCGCCGATTCTCTCAAATTGCGTCTTTGATAGTTCATACTGTGTGATTGTTACTTATGTGCAGGGCTTAACATTAACACCCGTCAACCTGCCAAATGCTGGTAGATTTCAGCTGTGGCGTGTTAGACAGTCACTCCCACTAGCCACTTTAGCTGGTTGAAAATAATTTTTAAATTGTGGTTTTCTTAAAAGCAGGGTTCGACTATAAGAATGACCCAATATGCTTGCAAATGTTTAGAATCGAGAAACAGCACGACTAAGCAGAAGAAAGCAGATGAATAACGAATGAGAGGATGCATACTCGCGCTAACAGCTGATGTACGTGCCTGGAAAGCAACTGTGATCCGATCTCAAATATTCAGACAAAAAAGTTATGGTCCTGCACCCACAGTCTTGCTGCTTTCAAGAGCTCCAAATATGTCTTTTTGTAAGCAGCACCGGTTGCTTTCGCTTTGAACAGATTATTAATTGACCTTACCCTTGTGATCATCCTTCCACCATCACAAAGTAGGCTATGTTTTTCAACTGCTTTTTTTGCTTATGGTTATTTTTGTTTATATGATTTAATTATCATTTTTTACAACAAAATTGCTTTAATATGAGATTAACTCTCCAATTATGTGTAGTTAACTGGTGATCTGAGATACCTTTAGCAAGGACAGATTACTGCATATTTTTGATACATGACTAATTATTTTTGAAAGTCAATCGTTTTTCTTTGTTTTTTTTAAGAAATGTTTTGTTAAATAAAAAGTATAGTATACAGCTTTATTTAGCTTGTTTTGACACATTTAGAATTTGTGGCTAAGAAATAATTATTGTTTGGTGTGGTCAGAGATAAATTTGGTAAATCCTTAATTTTGAGTTCTGAAAACTCATGTGAAATAAAAACTAATTGCAGTGTAACACTATGAAACCATGACCTATTTGCTCATACACGACACACAAAATGTGAAATGAATGAGAAGGCATGTGGACAAAACACAAAATCTAAATCAAGTCATTTTAGTATGTCAAAGTAGTATTTATGCATATAAAAATATTTGTTTTTTTAAATGAAAAATTGTGGCTAGTTAAAATGCAGAGTGGCCAGTAATGTTGGAAAACTACTAGCCACTGTGGCTGGTGATCAAAAAAGTTAATGTCAAGCCCTGCTTATGTGAATGAGCACTGATTTGCCAGTGATTTCAGCCATTTGTTAGCGATTTTTCAAAACATGGGCAAGTCAAAATCGAGGCTAAAATCATGCAGTCTGAACTCGACATATGAGTAAAATTTAAGACATTTTTAAACATCGTCACCAATTTCAACTGGTAACATTGGCGACATATTAGCTTACAGTATATTGGCTGAATGCTGGCTGTAAGAAACGTTATTCATATAATGAAATGCTAATATACAGCAGCAGGAATAACGGCGTTTACTGCATTAAACAAACCATGACGTCAAATCAAGCATGCTTTTATCAATTTCATAAACTACACAGCAACACAATATTCACAGATTAAATGCAGGCAAACATTAGCATACAACTAAGCATTGTATAATAAAAATGTATTTAATACGATGTACAATAGCATTTAAGACTTTTAAAATAATTTTTCAATCTCTCTAAATTGATTTATCAACTTATAATAATACTTAAAACAACTGCGGACACTCTAGCATTATAACGCAACTGAAAAAATTCATGAATTCCCACTAAATGACTTGATCTTACCGCCTGGATAAAGGCATCCATTACTTGATCCAATCCACATGTGCAGAAAAGTGAGCAAAACGAGCCATTTCTCGCGCTGAACTGCCGGAAACTTCATCCTGTGTTTCTATGATAAGAAAAATGTTTTGAGAAGTTTAAATTGTACTTGATGGTAAGGGTAAAAACTTGAGTACCTTTTTTGTTTTGGTCCCTCCACGTTGGATATTCCTCTTTCAATGATTCTTAATGCTACTTTACAGTTCAACGTACTCATGCTTCAGAGGCCAGTTAATAAATAACTACGCTTGAGTGAATAGATTTCTTGTTTGGTGGATAACGCAATCAATCAATGGCGTTGTGAGTTAGAAACAAACATGTTTTAAAGTAAAATGCTCATGAATGAACAGAACTTTATCCCCATTTTAACTCAACAAACTTACCATATGATCCAGACCTTGATTCATAGAAACAGACAATAAAAGCACAAGCAGTGTTATTTGTGTTTACTGTACAGTTCTGAAAAGATACATGAGCAACGTGGAGTGGAATAAACAATATTTGTTATGTGATATTTGACATGCGGTAGCCTTTTCGGTTTGGAGTTGTTGGCATGGTGAATGCATTTCTATTGATCTCCCAGAGCAGAGTAAACTGAAACTCTACACTGTACACAAGTAGCCTTCCTCTGTTTGTAGGAACTGGAAATACAGACATTCCTCTTTCAATGAAAAACATCAGTAGCCAAATTATTACACCACTTAGCCAGTGCTTCTTAAAGAGAGTATTTAATCTGGACCCACCTCCATTTCATATTTTACCTGTATTTTTGAGCATGTGTAAAGGATTCAAAGAGTGGATTTACTACTTGCATGTCAACGCATGTTAAATTTGTGATCGTGTTACTTTAATGTCTTTTTGGTGATGTTTCAGAATTTAACTGAAGATGATAGTTTTCCTGCCATCACATCCAGTTGGCAAATGCTGTTGCCCAGTCATCATTTCAATTGATGAGCATGTCAGTTTCTAGAAAGTTTTCAGTTTACAGGGTTTTCAAAGAATATTGGACATAAACTACCAGACAAATGTCTTCAATCATCAATCCCAGCAACAAATAATAACTTCACTTCTAGTTGATCATTTTAAAAACTGGCAGAAGGTAGATTTATCCGATGAATCATTTGTTGAACTGCATCCCAATTATATACTGCAAAAGACCCATTGGAACCCCAATGGACCCAAGATTCTCACAGAAATTACTCAAGTTTGGTGAAGGAAAAAGCTTGATTTAAGGGCTACATTCAGTATGGGGGCGTGCGAGAGATCTGCAGAGTTGATGGCAACATCAACAGCCTGAGGTAGTAAGATATTTGTGCTGCCCATTACATTACAAACCACAGGAGAGGGCAAATTCTTCAGCAGGATAGCGCTCCTTCTCATACTTCCACCTTTGCATCAAAGTTCCTGAAAGCAAAGAAGGTCAAGGTGCTTCAGGATTGGCCAGCCCAGTCACCAGACATAAACATTATTGAGCATGTCAGGGGTAAGATGAAGGAGGAGGCATTGAAGATGAATCCAAAGGATCTTGATGAACTCTGTGAGTCCTGCAAGAACGCTTTCTTTGCCATTCCAGATGACTTTATTAATTAGTTATTAAAGTCATTGCAGAGATGTATGGGGTAATTCTTATACTATGGGCACTTTTATGTCCTTTGATCATATATCTAAAAATATCTATAATTTTGTTCAAATTCCTCTTTCTTTGTCAAACTAACAATAAAAACTACTTTAAAAATATTTACTAGCTTTCTATTATATTCTTTTCATATTATTCAACATCGTTTTAGGTGTCAAAAATCACAGTTTTCACCTTGTCGCACACCCAGAGTTTTAAACTTCAATGAAAATACCATTTTAAAATATTATTTATCTGGTATCTATTAATGTATTTTAATTAAGCACTAGTGAAATAATTTTAATATTTTATAGTGATTAATGTGAGACTATTATCAATATTATTTTTATACAAAATATAGCAGTCGCACAGTATCAGTGTCATTGCACCACAACACTGTAATGTCGCTTTAAAAAGTTTGTATGAAAGATTATTTAGGTGGTTTCTATGAAAATGAACAGTGTGTTCAAAATGGAGGAAATTAACATTTTTATCAATGACATCTGAAGAAAAATTAAGGTAAATATTGCTTGATAAGGAAATACATTTATTCTACGTCATTTGTTGTACCTTTAAGGATGTTTTAAAAAACCAAACAAATCAAGGTGAATAAGAGTGTTTTGTAGTCATGAAAGGCTAGTATCAATTCAAAGCTAATCAGTGAAGCTATTTTTTTTTATTTTTTCACAATAAACTGTTGAAATGTCATTTCCACCACTGTCATTTTTATCACCACACACATTAAAAAATATATATTTAAAAAGTTCTCATCACACATTAAAAGTGTATTCACAATGTATGAGTTCATGCTCCATTTAATATGCAAATTCAGTTTATTTGTTTTCTAATAATCTTTTAACATTTTATCTTTTAAATTAATATAACATTTTAGGGTGTGACAGGTGTACAATTCAGCATTTGGTCCTAAGGGACTAATTTATTTCATTGACAAATGTATAATTATTATATATATATATTGTGGAAAGATTGGTTAAACTAGATACAAAACTGATCTTGGACAGTGTTTGACTGCCATAATTTATTTCATTTTGAAATAAGCTGTATATCGAGATGTGGTGGAATTGACTTTCATCTAGACAAATTGTTTAATTATGAGGCTATGTTACGTTGATTTCAACTACGTTGAAGTTTTTTAAATAACTTTAAAAGTGCCCGTAGTTGAAGAATGGCCCTTGGATGCAGTTGTCCAAGCTCATGGGTGTCATACGCAATATGATTTTTTTATCTTTATTCTATACTGTACATTATTTCTGTTAAGAGACAAGACTTTTGTCCAAGCAAAGTCAGACCTTACTGTCTTAATGAACTAATTAAAAATCAAGGCATGATCATATTTTATTTTGGTAAAATAAGTGTAATCTAGAGGCCTTTGCCTTTCATATAAGACACTTATGATACCAAATGATCAACTAGAAATCAAGTTATTATTTGTTGTTCCTAAAACTTGGATAGGCGATAAGCCTTTATCAGGTAGTGTAGAGGTCTGCATTCATTTAGCTTCAATTCAGCACAAAACTGTTCTGTTGCATTTGTAGTGAGATTGAGTTGGATTTTCTGAAGAGTGTAAATGTCAAACGCCACCATGAATTAAAAGTTTAGGCAGTTGACAGAAAACATAAAGCACTATTTGTCACATTAGACTGATCTGTTTTCTGCACCATGTTACATTTGACCTGCCTTTAGTATTAATATTATTTTTTTAATAAACATTGCTATTACTTATCATTTTGCAACTTTGCACTTATTAATGTTTATTAAAACGTAAAAAACAATGATCCCAGACCTAAAATAAAACCCAGCATAGTGGAGACATAAATGAGCACTAAATATGAACACATTACTAAATATTTGCCCAATGCACCATTAAAATGATCAAATATTTTTGTAAAAACTAAATATTGAGTATAGCAATAACAGGTCATGATTTTACAAGACAAACCCTAATTATGAATCCTTTTAACAATTGAACTTTTCTTTTTAACATTTAAATAGAAAGAAAATTACAAAAATAAATGATTTAACTGGTTTTTTAACAAAGGCGTGTGCACAATTACATGTTTGAACAACTAAAACTATTCAAAATAGGGCTGCACAATATATCGTTACAGTGTCGATTTCGCAATGTGCACATTTGGAATAGTCACATCGCAGGACCTTCACTGCTTTTATATTAGAATTTATATTAGAGTTAACCATGATCTACAGTTCAGAGGCCATGAGATTTCTGGAGTCACTGCAGAGTTTAACTCTAATGGAGTGAAAATCTCAGGCACAAGAATTTGTACTAATTGAAATTTAAAAAAAAAGAGTCATTTTTAAAATTATTTCTACAATAAAAACTATACAGTGTTGTTTTATGTTCGATTATTCAAATTCTGAAACTGAATTAGTTTATACCGGTACCGTTGGACTCCCCACAAATCCATAAATTTAACCTGCTCTATTGTATTTAACTGTAACTTTTATTTATTTATTTACTATATATATATATCAATCTAAAATAAATGAATTAATGATTTCCCAATAGAGCTATTCAAGTGATCTGGTGAATTGTATTTATATTGCATTATACATATATAGTATATATGTATAGTATATATGTATGGTGACTTGAGAAAGCCAACATACTGCTATACTACATAAGCTTATTATTCTTATTAGTCTTCTTCTTCTTCTTAGACTATTTTAAGAACGCATCTCCTCTTAGACCGGTCATACTACAACCACCAAACTATCTCCAAACTACATTGAATTAAGTTGCTTTATCTTTTCCAACCGATCTGATTTACGGTTTTCCCAAAACTGACCCGGAAAATTTGGTAAAGTCCCATCGACTTAACATTGGACCAAACTTTGTGACCTCATAACTTTCCGACAGACTGTCATACAGACTTAAGGTTTGGCCAACACAATCTCACGGTAATTTGTAACTTTTTGATTTAGTGGCTAATTCATATGAATTTGTACAATGTAATCCGTACAATTTATTACGATTTGCTCATCCCTAATGATGGTTGGGTTTAGGGGTGGGGTTAGGTGCCACGCCTCCCTTTTAAAATTGTACATTTTCGTACAACTGAACTCGTACAAATTCATATGAATCAGCCTGCAAACTAGCAAAACATAAAATACTTACGTTTTCTCCTGAGATCAGGCTGGTTGGGCTCATTTAACTCAGACTAACAATCTGCCAATCACTGATGACCTTTCAACTTACTAGCCACACCCTAGCGACCACTTATGACACCCTAGCAATTGTCCCATAGTCCTCCATTGTAAAAAAAAAAAAAAAAAACTGCCATTGACTTTACATGGACATACTAAAGACATACAAATCCATACTAACAACATACTAATCCATACTAGAAACATGCTAACAAACATACCATAAATATACTAGCAACATGCTAATTCATACTAAAACCATACTAGCAACATGCTAATTCATAGATCCATGGCAATTTATGTTAGCAACAGCATAAAAACCACTCAGAACACCCTAGCAACATCTTAGCAACCGCTCAGAAACACCCCATCAACCACCTACAGTAGCAAGAAACAAGCCAATCCATACTAAAAACATGCTAACATGTATGTACTTTTCTATCTATGCCTGTTTCAATCTTCTTATAAACTACATCTTCAAACTTTCAGTCGAGGCTTTCTCAAGCCAACATAAAGTTTGTCTACGAACTTTACTTTTCTAGTAGTATTTACAGTCAGCATGAATACTACAGTCTGTACTACTTTTCTATTGTATATGTATATTCAATTCAACTGCTGTTTATTCCTATAGCACTTTTACAATGTAGATTGTCAAAGCAGCTTAACATAGAAGTTGTAGTAAATTGAAACTGTGTCCGTCCAGTTTTCAGAGTTCAGTTTAGTTCAGTTTGTGACGCTTATAGCCGGATAGCCAGTGGAAAAAAGAGCTTCGAGACAAAAAGATAATTTCAGACTCAAACCTTTATAGTCAGCCTCCTTCAGCGTCACAAGAATTACAGTTCAAAAACACAAAATAAAAGTAAACAATATTTAAAAGTAGAGCATTTTGAGGGGAGAGCAGCGCACACACTCCTTTCTCCCTCTTCTCACACACGCAGACTAACTCCCGCAACGCAAACACTGGGGTGCTGGGGTGCAGCTCTTAAAGGGCAACACACATACATAATGTGATACATACACATTGTAGTGGACGTTACAAGTTCAGTGTGGTTTAATTTTCACTGCTGAAAGTCCAATTATACATCAAAATTCACAATAAAGGCTATGCATTACTAACTAATGTCCATTTAATTAAATCAAGCTAGGAACTGTCAATCTAGGATATTACACTTCTTACTTCAGCAAAAGGTTTCCCAAAATGCATACACATTCACAAGGCATGGTATGCAGCCATGCTGGGATTTTTAATATGTTTGTGATTGTTCCCATAGTGAATTATTCCTCAGTTCACTGCTAAAAATGATAATCTCTCTCCCTCTCGAAGCAAACCGGATAAGTAAAAACTCCTTAGACACAATCATAAATCACTATTTATTCGTGCAAACTTTAAATTCATTTGGAGTGGTGTCCATGAACGGTCTATTTTGGCAAGATAGTCCAATGTTTGTCTCCATCTTGTGGTTCTTTTTTTAGACACCAAACTTTAGGTTCAAAACGTAAGTATATTTAATAATAACAAATGATGAATTCCTTGCATTAAAACTTAATTTTTGTGTTATATAATGATATATATTTATTTGTGACTTATATGTCTTGTACTGGCATTTCGTGCTGCCTCTGAGATTCTACCACTGGAATTTTTTGGCAATATTTCATCAAAGAGCAAACCCTGGCAGAAAACCAACACAAACAGCGCCTTAATCTCTTAAGTCTTCAGGTCACATTTTAATGAATATCTATTTTTTTTTAATCTTTAATCTTTCGCAAATAAATGCGGAGGAATATTGCTGCACAATGTTTACTTTAGTAAATGTACAGAAATGCAATCTGATGAGTGTCTTCCATCTATACCAGTACACATCCACGATCAAAAACTTAATTAAAATGAACCACAGATGAATCCTCATGGAATTATTATGTAGAAAAATCATTATTAACTTTAAAATAATAATACAAATATAATTTATCAGTGAATATCAGTAATCATACTATGTAATCAAGACAATTGCAAAACATAAAAGTTCAGTGGATTAGGCAAGAAAATAATCACTATCAATATACACTATACAAACAGTAAACTTAGCTAAATACAAACTAATTTACTACATACGGTTTGATCTGTTCACAACATCGAACTACAGGAGTGCCTGTGTTTGAAGGAGCACCATGCTGCCAATCAGTTCTCCAAATGATTCAGATTATCTGTCATCTTGTGCTTCCTCTATTATGTGTAAATGTGCATATAAATACACAGCCACACTTGGAAACTGAAAAAGTACTCACTTAATACCACAGTGAGTGGTAAAAAAAACATCCATTTGGCTTACCTTGACTGATGTTTAGTGTAAAAGTTGATTTCTGTCGACACACACTGGAGAAATGATGCTGGTTAAGTCCACAACAGTCATACTAATGGTGTTTCTCGGGGCTTGTTCACACTCGTACTTGGTTCATTTGGTCCTGGACAAATTCAAACATTTTCACACTTTATCTTAAGACTGAACTTGTTATAAACGAACAAAGTAGTAGCTTTTATAACATTTTTGCATAATGACACTTACAAAAAATCCAGATTAATGCATTGTGCTGGGCTGAATGTGCTCGTTTTTGAATGTGATGGCTGTGATGGGATTTTTTTTAATAAATTAAGAGGCTTGTGCATTTTTCTCTATATTATCTTGTGAAATTAATCAAATATCTTCTTGATGTAAATCTTGTCAGCTAAAAGTCTTACGTTAGCATGAAAACAATTCAGTTTGAAACTATTTATTAAGAGTTCAACAACAAAACATCAATTAAATAGTATTTTGATGCGAAGATGCTTGAATTACTTTACAATTTACAAACAAAACTGTTTTTAAAGAGCTGTGAAGTGACTCTCAGTAGATCAAGGTCATATGTTCATGTCCTCTTACAGAAAAAAAAACCATGAGGAGTCATGCACTTGAGGATTAAACAAAGCTACACCATTCATTCACACACACAAAAGACAGAACAGCATTTCTGCAGTTTAATCTTCACAGGACACTGTCCACATTGTGATTTGATTAAGTGCAGATGACTTCTTTTGATTAGTCCAGAATCTTCTAGGATTGTAAAGCTAATTCCACTGTTTAGGACTGAATTCTACAATTCTGTGTGGGATTACTGGAAACTTCCAGAGAGAAACAGGGCTGCAAAAAACTATTGTTTTATGATTATTAGAATGATGAACTGATTAATAATTTGATTAATTGAATTTTATTGAATACTTTAATAGCTAATCAGCAGGTTTTGAATGATTATCCAGCTTTTGCAACTAGTTAAAACATTGAGTTGAATGAATCGTCATTTACAGACTAAGGAGTTTAATGAGACATGAAGAAAATGGGTAGAATATATTCTCCTATTAAGACCAGCCTTAATATAGAATGTATTGTCAAAAAGACGTGAATTTTATTTTGTATATTATTATTTTTGGAAGGACAGAAAACAAAAGAAAAATAGTGAGAATAACAACAACTATTTAAAATAATAAATGAATAATTAAATAAAGATTACATTTAAGATGCTAAAAGTACCATCCTATGTATATACTACCTGTCTTGTCGCCTATCCAAGTTTTAGGAACAACAAATAATAATTTGACTTCTAGTTGATCATTTGTTATCAGAAGTGGCTTATATGAAAGGCAAAAGCATCTAGATTATGCTTATTTTACCCAAATAAAATATGATCATGCCTTGATTTTTAATTATTTCTTTAGGACAGTAAGGTCTGGCTTTGCTTAGACAACAGAAATAATGTACAGTATAGAATATAAAGTCATGCTGCAGTAGAAAAAGAATTAATAATTGTGCATGACTTCCATGAGCTTGGAGGACTGCATTCATACATCTCTGCAATGACTCAAATAACTTATTAATAAAGTAATCTGGAATGGTAAAGAAAGCGTTCTTGCAGGACTTCCAGAGTTCATCAAGATTAATCTTCAATGTCTTCTCCTTCATCTTATGCCAGACATGCTCATTAATGTTCATGTCTGGGGACTGGGCTGGCCAATCCTGGAGCACCTAGACCTTCTTTGCTTTCAGAAACTTTGATGTGGAGGCTGAAGTATGAGGAGCGCTATTCTGCTGAGGAGTTTGCTCTCTCCTGTGGTTGGTAATGTAATGAGCAGCACAAATGTCTTGATACCTCAGGCTGTTGATGTTGCCATCAACTCTGCAGATCTCTCACACGCCCCCATACTGAATGTAAATCATGATTTTTCCTTCACCAAACTTGACTGATTTCTGTGATAATCTTGGGTCCATGTGGGTTCCAGTAGGTCTACCTGCTGCCACTTTTCCAAACGATCAACTAGAAGTCAAGTTGTTATTTGTTGCTCTTACAACTGGGATCAACGACAAGACTTTTGTCAGGTAGTGTATACTTTAGGGGGAAAAAAAGGGTGGGGTGCCACAATATGGGTCAAATAAATACACAATTGATTTAGAATTGAAAAGCAACAAATCAGTTTTATGTTTTCTTTTTGACGATATACAAAAAACTATGAGTGTTTTGTTTTAATTGTTCTCATAATGTCCTTAAATCATTCACGTATTTTCCGTATTTATTTTTGGATTTTTTTTTTGGATTTAATCATTTATTTAAATATAATGATTACAAGTGATACAGAGTACAAGTGATAAAAACAAATTCAGCTTTTGAAACAGATTTAATGAACTCTGAAATAAACAAATCACTTGTTTTTCACTTTTTTATGATAATTTTTTTTAGGGTTTTTTCACCTTTATTAATATAGGACAGTGGAGATTTTTTACAGAAAGGGAATTATGGTCAGCAGAAAGAGGGTAAGAATCGGCAAAAGGACCTCAAGCCAGAAATCGAACTCGGGTCACCAAGAGCAGCTCGGGGCTGTCCGTCGACGCACTAACCACTAGGCTTTTGGCGCTGACCGCTTTTCAGTTTTTAGATTATATCCAACTCAAATGACACAAAGAATATCATTGTTTATCTACTTTTTGTTTTCCTTTGGATAGACAAAAAGATCATAAATAACTCATACAGTAAGTAGGGCCAGACAGAACCAAAATAAATTTGCTATTTCTGAAGAGAATTTCGTAAAAAAAAATCTGTGGATTTATGCGAAATTATTTTGGGAGTATTGTAACTAAAAACTTAATATATGAAATAAAAAAATAATAACTTTTTAACTTTTATTTAGTGTTTACAATGCAAATCCTAGATCCACTTATTTGGTAAACAAAGCAAGTCTCTCATATGATCCTCTGAAAGACAGAAAATATTACTTGACAAACTGTATTGTAGATAAATCATAAGAACACTTATTAGTCAATAATATTACTAAAATTAAAAACTGAATAAATGTAAATTTACACAAGTATATAAATACACTCAATGATAGGCCAAAAATCTGCAGAAATCTGAAGAAATGGATTCCTTGTGGGGCTCCTCATAAATAACTTACTAGTAAATATCACTAGCATCTCTTTTTTGAAGTTGTTATGAACATGGAAAAAAATAAAAGGCAAGACTCCTATCACTTGCCTCTTTTATAATCATTTTCCCCTCCTATTATGGCTAATAGTGTTACAAAAATCAAATTAGTCCTGTCTCCAAAGCTCAGTCAAGCTACTATGTGCAAACCAAATAATCACATTACTGTAATTATATTATTGCTGTTGTTGTTTTCTTTGCTATTATCATTACTATTATTATTACAATGTCTAATCAAATAATTTACAGCTAGTCAAGCTGGAGAACACTACCCTGCTTTTCTTGTGCAGGATTAGCTGAAATTTCACTCAGATCTGACGCTTTTAACAAATCAATGCATGGGGCAGCGTATGAGCACGTCTGAGCTCCAGGCAGTCAGTGGGTGCATTGAGCACACCTCCCCAGCTGACAGCTCATGACAGTTCATCAAGGATGTAGTTGTTAAACATGATATTTAACTCATCTAGTCTCTATCTAACTACTCTTTGGTATTTGAATTGATTACTTATTCTTAGGTAACTCTTTTGGCTGAGCGCAAAGATAAGTTAATATATGAATTTTTGTAAACACATACACTGATTCTGCATATTTTGACTGATTGCTTGCATTTATTTCCTATATTGTATTAACTTATTGTTCGTTACAGGTTTATAATGGCTAATATTGATTGTTAAAACTGATATTCAGCAAAAGAGACTTCCAAGTTTTCAATGAAAATGAAAGGAGGCAGTTTTGTTATAGACAGTTATGTTATAATATGCAGGGCCGGCCCGTGGCATAGGCAGTATAGGCAAACGCTAAGGGTGCTGCAAATCCAGGGGGCGCCATAAATGAGCGCGGTTAAGTTGGTTTTGTTTTTGATATTTCTGACACATTTAGTGATAGACGGCAATAACTATATTACTTACCCTAAAAAGATCTAAAGCGTGTTTCCTACAAAAAGACAAAGCTGGTTATGTTTCACAGCTGTCTTCTTCTTTTTTTTCGCTCGACATTACGACCACTGCTCCGTTTAAGCCCTCGCAATATGCGTTCAGCCAGGAGAGCTCTCGAGCTCTCAGTAAGGGATCGTCGGAAAAGTGCTTCTTTTTTTCCTTTTTTTTTTTTTGCTCCATTCTGCGTGTTTTATTTTAAACACAACTAATTTTCTCTTAAATGACACAAACAGTTACTAAAGTAGTGGAATGCTTCATTATAGATCTGTGCATTCTCACATGAACACCTATCAAATAAAACACAACGAGAGATTCATTTGCTGCCCTTTACTAAATAACTATGGCAACTTTAATCAATATGCAAATACAATCAAACGTGAAGTAGATTTTATAGCATGTTTAATTTCTGTATAGGCCATTGATTTTAATAGGCTAAACCTTTTATTTTATTGTCAATATTTTCTAATGTTTGCTATGTATTCTATCATTTGAAGCTATTTGTTGTCCCATATTTTTTACATCCTATCGTTGACAGATATGGCATAACATTGCTAATCAATAAATAGCTATAGTGCTATCTGTTAGTTTTAACGTCAGCTAATGTTATGGAAGGGCATAGATGTTATGGATAATAGTAATATGTAACTACCCCCATCATTCCTCCTTCAAGCAAATGTGTAAATATTAGATCTATTCAGCAATAATGTTAATTGCATTGGCATATGTATCTGACGTTTTCCCAGCTTGTAGTCGGTCAAAAAGCTATTTAGTTTCTTATGACTATACACTAGCAGTGAAATTTACTGCGATCATGCAATGTGACGGGGCGCACCTACAATCTTGCCTAGGGCGCCAAATTGGTTAGGGGTGGACCTGATAATATGAAATATAATATATTTCAAACGTAGTTGTTAGAGGCTGGAAATGAGCTTTGCAGACACAGGCAGAGATCGGAAGCAGGGGTGGACATCTGTGTTAATGATTATTCTATTACTATGCATCTTTGATTGACTTGACATCCTCATTTAAGAAGGAACTTACAAACGATTGGCGCAGGGCCACTGGACTAAGAGTACAGACACACAGAGCTGTGTTTACATTTGTTTCTAAACTAAGCTTGCATATGCTTTAGAAATTCCAATGGTAAAGAGTCAAAAGAAATGAACAAATATTTAATGCGTGCCAAAAACGAAAGGTAATTTATGTAAACTGCTTGTGCGTTCGTTTTACTTCTGCATCTGATAAACATAATCTAGGCATGAAGGACAAAGAGATGCCAAATTTAGATCTGCATAACACCTGTAAAACTGCCTTTATAATCATCATAAATTCAGTTTAATCAGTTTTCTTTATGGAAAAGGAACTACTCTTTCATTTTATATACATAAATAATGCTAACTGCTTGTAAAGATTATTATAGGTGTCATCAAGCCGATAAAAGAAATGACAAGCAATTTACATATTTAGTCATATTATAATATTTTGTCATAATGCTTAATATTTATGTCAGTTCATATGTCATGTTTTTAGAAGACCTCAGGCTACATTTATATGTACCTAAATAATGTAGCAGGATACATTTCTGGTGCTTTACAAAGAGGTCTGTTCTGTTTTGCATCACATTTTCCCATCGGTCAGAATCACATGAAATCACACAGGAAGTGCAGCAGTGTCTCGCAGTGCGTCATGAGCTTTTCTACTAGAACAGAGCAATGAAGAGACTGGCTAAGACTAAAATAGGTTTCTTTATATTCATTCTCCATTCCTCATTTGTATTTTCAGCCTGATTCATTGTAAAAAAAAATCCCAAGCTACAACATCCATACCCTAAGGTCCTTGCACAAGGATGGTGGTGTAATTAAGGACACGGATCCAAGTCATTTTCCCAGAAAAACATGGGAGATGTTTATCATTTGGAGTCATCATCTACTCACCCACACATTGTTCCAAACCAATATAAATATACAGCATTGGAAAGAAATGAACACAACATTTATTAGACAGTTATTGTCGGTTCTCTGGGTTTGGCAATTGGTATTATGTGTTTTACATAAAACGTTCATTTGCTTCATCACAGATAATAGATCTTTATTTATTTTTTTAGTGGTTGCTTCATTTTTTCCAGAGCTGTATTTTAGGTATGTAAAAGTTCATAGTATAGAGCACATACACAACATTACGGAATTTAAGTGATAAGCAGAGTAATTGCTAAGTTTAGTTATCGTCTGCATCACCATAAATGTTGTAAGCATTTTTACAATATTTAAAATTCCCCAAAAAAGATGTAAAAGAAAGCTTAATTCTGTGTTTGCACACTGAACCTTAAAAAAAAATCCAATCTTGGTGTGTATATTCTTTAGTAGATAATAAAGAGAAACTGCATAAGTCTCAGTATATTGGATCCATGAACTAGCTTATAAAATTATTATTAATTAAACAACAAAACTTCTGAAAAGCCAGAGAAACTTTTGCAATGTTCATAAAGAGTAATTTATATCAAATTCTTCTTTCATTATCAATGTTTTTTTTTATTACACATGAATTAGATGCTTATCACGGGGTAGACGGGTCTGTGACCAGCGCTCTATAGCTGCAGGACCAGACGGTTGTTACCTATATTGGACTATCTTCACATGGTCGGGGAGGTTTCCAATTTCGCTATGCGTAACAGTGTATGTCCCTTTTTTCATCATCATCATCATCATCATCATCATCATCATCATCATCATCATCAAATATGTTTTTACTTGTCTACTTCTATTTTAGTACTAAAAGGTTAAAGCTACGTAAAGTGAAACTTACTACGCACATTTTTTTTCTATTTATTTGTTTATTTGTCCTTTTTTAAAACAGATTGCTTACTAGTATTTAATAATGTACACTGGCCACTTTGTCTACCTGTCCAACTGCTCGTTAATGCACATTACTAATCAGCCAATCACATGGCAGCAACTCAATGCATTTAGGCATGTAGACATGGTCAAAATGATCTGCTGAAGTTCAAACCGAGCATCAGAATGGGGAGAAAATGAGATTTAAGTGACAAAATCTATGCCACAAAGGATTAAGGCAGTTCTGAAGGCAAAAGGGGGTGTCCAACCAGGTAATAGTAAGGTGTACCTAATAAAGTAGCCGATGAGTGTATGTTAGGCTATAGCTCTTTGAACAATAAATAGAAAGTTTAGAGAGTAATAAGAATAAACTGATCCTTCACTCCAAAAACAGAATATGATCCGAGTCTTAAGACCTGTGAGTCTTGTGATTTATTGCACCACAAACATAGAGAACTGGATGGATGGATGGATGGATGGATAGTAGATAGACAGACAGACAGACAGACAGACAGACAGACAGACAGACAGACAGACAGACAGACAGACAGACAGACAGATAGATAGATAGATATATAGATAGATAGATAGATAGATAGATGTCTTACGTGTTCCACAGAAGACAAAAATCATAGCGGTTCATACATTACGATGACGAGTAAACAAACAGAAACTTTCAATGTTATGCTCAAACTGTCCCTGAAATATCTTTAACACAAACAGCTTGACTCACTGCAGCACATGTTTAGACTCACAACAACAGAATGTTCCCTTCTTAGGCTCAGAAGAAAACTGGGGTTGTCGGGGGGTGGGGGTGGACAAGCATTTGATTGGCCGCTGCCCTTTGCATTCTGACCATCATTGGCTACTGAAACGAAGGGGTGAAACCTTCTCTCGCACACATAACCCTTCCTCCAGTCATGAGGTGCTGCCATGCCATGGGCTAATTCTGTACTCGACACACTCGTATTACCCCGAGAGAGAGAAAGAGAGAGAGAGAGAGTGTTTGAGATAGAAGCAGAAGGAGGGGCAAGCAAGTTTTGTCCAGGGTGAGCAAGAGGGGGAGGGGGTTGAGAATGCAGGAGAAGAAGCAACAGCTTGAGAATTCTGGAGAAACGGACGGAAGGAAAGTCAGAGCAGCTTCTGTGGAAAGAAGGAAATATGGAAAACAGGATGAGGTGAAGAAGAGCTGGGGATAAAATAAGAAGATGCCTTAAAGGAATGCACTGGACAGGAAAGAAGCGGAGAAATTTCTTCTTGTGCATGTGAGAAGAAAAGTAGGCTGATGGATTGAGTAATAAAAAGCCAGGCCTGTCAGTGGAGAAAAGAAGAGAAAGAGAGAGAGAGAGAGAGCGAGGGGCAGTTAAATTAAGCAGAGGGAGGGAGAGTGAGGAGATTAACAGTCTGAGAGAGAAACAGAGAGAGAGAGAGTAAAGAAAAGGGTGCAGTCGTTAAGAAACCGGCAGAGTTGTAAAATACAGAGAGAGCGGCAGCAGCATCTGCATTTGAATGAGAGCACACGCATGTCCGCGGATATGTGTGCCACCGAGACCGTGTGTAAGAGTGGATGCGCGTTATGAGGACTCTTATGCGCTGGCTGCTTCCTGTCATCCTTCTGTGCTCTTTCTGCAGTGTGGCCTTCTGGATTTTCATCTCCAACAAGTGAGTATTTCAGTTTTAGCGTTTGTGTGTACCCTTTTATTTGGAGAGTAAAGTTGAAAAGACCAGAGTGTTAACAGATATCAGACCACCATGACTGAAGGAAGTCTTTTTAAGTCAAGTTAGTTATCAATAAATCTTTATAAGACATTTCTAATCTTTGTGCTGTCAGGAAACCGTTTCACCGCAGGCATCTGATTAGCAAAAGAGTATATTGTGTCATCATTACAGGAGAATTTATGCAGAAGCATAAAGATGATGCATACTGAAATGTTTTTTTTTGTTGTTGTTAATGGTTCAATGTTTCAGGATGCTGGACAGGTCTAAAAGTTGGACTTTAGATGCTGATTGTTTGTTCTGTTTCAGAAGTTTAGAATCACATTTCACATGAGTAAATAATTGAAAGTTGCATATGTTTGCCTGAATCAGGGATGCTCTTATTGCAAGTAACCGTTAACCAAAAGAATGCATTTTTAACAATTAATGGTATCAATTAAACAGTCAATATTATTATCAGTTTATTTTGTGTTTTTCAAGTTTAAGTTTAAGAAGAAAATTGCTTGACACCGACGAATTTTGCTGCATAAACTTGTAACACATAGCCTATCTGTTAACTCGCGAGACGTTAACACATACAGTTAAAATCAGAATTAATAGCCCGCCTGAACTATTCACCTCCCCTTTTATTTTTTTCCCCAATTTCTGTTTAACAGGGAGATTTTATCTTTGTCATGATGACAGTAAATAATATTTGACTAGATATTTTTCAAGATGCTTTTATACAGCTTAAAGTGACATTTAAAGGCTTAATTAAGTTAATTAGGTTAACAAGGCAGGTTAGGGTAATTAGGCAAGTTATTGTTTAATGTTGGTTTGTTTTGTAGACTATCGAAAAAATATATAGCTTAAAGGGGCTAATAATATTGTCTTTAAAAATGGTGTTTAAAAATATTAAAAACTGCTTTTATTCTAGCCGAAATAAAACAAATAAGACTTTCTCCAGAAGAAAAAATATTTTCAGACATACTCTGTTAAACATAATTTGGGAAATATTGAAAAAAGAAAAAATAATTCAAAGGGCTCATTTATTTCCCTTAATTTATTTTGCCTATAAAGCTAAATAAAAAGTGCGAAAAGAAATATCTTGCTTGTCGAGGTTTGACAGACAAGTTTTGCTGCATAAACATGCAACACAGCCAATTTGTTAACTCGCAAGACGTTAACACATACGACCACAAGTCCCTTAACATATTTTTTCTATGAAGCTTCATAAAAAGTGCAAAAAGAAAATTGCTTGTCACATTTTAACACAGACAAGTTTTGCTGCATTTGTTAACTTGCAAGACGTTAACAAGTACAACTACACGTACCTTAACATATTTCACATTTTGTATATTAATTAACTTTAAAATCTCTAATACCATTATTGTCCCCCGTTGTCGGTAGGTTGATCAGACTTTCAGTGAAGCCTTGATATACTGATATTTCTGTGCCAGTTTGACACGGGCTACGCTAAACTGAGGACAGTTTCACTATTTCAAAACACAATCTCACCTTGCCGCAATTGAGACAGAGAAACTGAAAGCGTGCAAACTCTACAGTAAAATCAGATGGTCGAGTTCTGTATGCTGTGTGATGTTCTGTATGCTGTTGTTCGCATGGTAAAATGAATCAATATTTTAAAATGCAATATTTAATGTGTCAGACACATAATCGACATATAGTTTTTTTTTTAATAATTAAATAATAATTTTATATTAATCTGATCGGTTAGCGGTTAATATTTGGTTAATGAACTGCGATTGTTGGTTGGGAAAATTACCCAAAATGAGCATCCCTAGCCCGAATACTGATTTCTTAAATTCAAATGCTTGCAAAAAACAATATTAATAATAAAAATTAAGAAAAAATTAAGACAAAATAAAAAAAGTTTTGTATACCCTTTCAAACAGACAATTCATTTGTGTCTTCAATTCAAAACTAGAAATTATAGGGGATTTCTAACTGCATTCTAATACACTGTCAAAAGTGACTCTACAACTCTCACTGGGGTCAAACCTTTCTAAAAGGTACACTTTTGTACTTTTTAGGTACTAATAGCAACCTTTAAGGTAATAAGAGCCTTTAAGTACAAACATAGGCACTCCCGCAGGGGCAGCTTTGTTTTGGCCTCATCATGAAGTAAAAGAACACTAGTATCACACTAGTAGCACATAGTATATTCATAACCAAATATAAAACATGCAAGTAGTTTTTGTATATAACCAAAATCAAAAGGAAATATATAATTATTCAGCCATCTCATTAACTATGGCTGTTTGGTGTCTTGCTTGTGACCTTTGTCTTGTTATGTGCCGTTACACTGACAGCAGCAGCCTTTAATCACTACAAGGCATGTGGGAGATTAAACTCCCAGAGAAATTCACAACAGCACAAAATCACTGGGTGCTTCACGGTAGCCGAATTAAGTTTCTACTATGTAGATGGCAAATTACAGGAAACAAACAAACTGAAGGCTTCAATTTTACTTGAAGAGAAGCATAATTGAATTGGATTATAGTGAATCACTACAGTAACTTTATAAAGCTAAATTGCCACACAGGCCTCAGAACGTGTAAACCTACAACTAGACTCTACCCTGAGTTAAGAAGGTCTAAAGTCATCTGTGTGGCCTACAAAATCTGCCAGTAGTTTTTCTTTTTTTATCAAGATAACTTTAAGCTTGCCCACGGTTGTTTGCATATGACTGCTTGCTTAGGGGACATGAACTCTGCTTGAAGCTCAGAGATGGACCTTGTGTTGCGAATGTGATTAGAGAAAACTGCTCAGAGGAACCGTTTTAAAGGGATAGTTCACCCTAAATTTACTCACTATTCACTGTTTATTAACTTTTATAAACATTTATCTGTTACATTAGTCTGTTGAACACAAAAATATGTTTTTCAAGAAAGCAGAAAACAGGTAACCATTAATACAAGTATATATAGATAAATAAGTAACCATTATATTTTCTCAAAATACAGTTGAGGTCAGCATTTTTAGCCCCCCTTTGAATTTTAGTTTTTTTTAAATATCTCCCAAATGATGTATAATAGAGCAAGGAAATTTTCACAGTATGTCTGAAAGTCTTATTTGTTTTATTTTGGCTAGAATAAAAGCAGTTCTTAATTTTTTAAACACCAATTTAAGGACAAAATTATTAGCCCCTTTAAGCTGTATTTTTTCTGACTGTCTACAGAACAAACCATCATTATACAATAACTTGCCTAATTACCCTAACCTGCCTAGTTAACCTAATTAACCTAGTGAAGCCTTTAAATGTCACTTTAAGCTGTATAGAAGAGTCTTGAAAAATATCTAGTCAAATATTAAATTATACTACTTGCCTATTAAGTAATAGTATTTTAGGCCAAATTAATTTATCACCCTCTCTCTCCTTTTTTGACCCAAGGGCTGAACTCTGGCTGCCTGAATGACGTCTGGCTGTATTTTGCAAACAGAGTTAAAGTGAGATGGAGAGTGTGGGTGCGGATAATAGGGAGTAACAGACAATGTGAGAGATAGAAATTGAAAACTAAGATAGGAATATACAGGAAGAAAGATAAGTAAGAAGCGAAGAGATAGGGAACAGAACTGGTCTCACAAGTCATTGTACAAAGACTTTTCTGACTTTAGTGCTTGGCTGTTTGCAATAGACTGATAATTGAACAAATTGACTGTGTAAAGCCACATAAAACAACACAAAAATATGATGAATATGCTGAAATCAGAGGCTAATCTGCCGGAGTCAGCTGAGGTGACGTGACGGCGACCAGCGGGACCTAACTGTCAATTAAGTGGCCACTCCCTTAATTATGCAAACTTAATATAACCTTAAATAAATGAAACTGATGAGTTATAAAAAAAATTCACCCCCCTCACAGTTGTCATGAAGGGTAATATTAGCTGTATTAACCAAAATCGTTTTTTGTACCAGGTTGTAAACACCTTTTTGTCTGCTGTAAAGTTGGCCATTCTAACAGTGGGCTCAATTAAACTTTGCTCTATTATGGAGCCAGGACTAGCGGAATTTCGATGAATTTCAGTTTTAGTTACTTCTGTATTGGCCTCTCGAGGGAGAGCGAGAGGTTACCGCTTGGTTTTCCCCCATGTATCATCATCAGCGTTTAGCATGTAGTTTTGCAGCTGTTAGATCAAGAACAACAGCTGCCATTCATGTTCATACACTCTAAAAATAATTCTGTAGGCCTGTCTATCGTTATGAATAATGACTTAAATTTTACACTGAATTCTGTCCAAAATATTTTGAATTTTATATTTGAATATTTATATTGACTATATTGATAAAATAAATACTTATCGTATTTGACTGCAAACAACTTTTTCTGCATTAGCAGCTCACATACATAACTTATTATTTTAGAGTTTTTTTTCCAGGGTATTGTGGATATTTTATTTAATAAATAAACATTAACTCTGTTAATACATTTATTTTATGCTTTAAGCTACATACACAAGCCTGACTACAAACTACAAAACTTGTGCATGATCCTTTACGCACATGATAAATTCAGGATCTTTTGCATTATATTTCTATTATAAATTGCCCCGTATAGATACTTTTGTTCTGCTAAAGCATTTGTTAAAAAATAATTTTTAGATTAATATGCCTATATGTAAAATCATATAGTAAATAAAAAAAAAACGGTAAACAGAATCAATTCTGTATTAGAAAATATGAATTCATCTGAAAAAATGGGAACTAAATCTTAATGCATAAAGTTTTTATAGAGTATTTGATTGTTTTAATACTAAATATACAAATCTCAAAACACAATCTCAAACAAACACTTTTTTTGTGGTATTAGATTGATAAACCAGAGAAATCCCGTGCAGCATGATCGAAAGTGGACTAAAGACTGTTTACCTTAAGCATATGGCATATTTTTGAACTAAAATGTGTCTCTCTTGTTTACCTGTGATCTGATCAAGCAAAATGTGTTTTATTACCGTGTAAACAGGGCAGCATCTTTAATTCATTTTCTTTTTTTTAGCTCAGTTCCTTTATAAATCCGGGGTTGCCACTGCACAATGAACCGCCAACTTATACAGCAAATGTTTTACGCAGTGGATGCCCTTCCAGCTGCAACCAAGAGCAGCATCAGTCATTTTAGATTCGGCAACTCCCTTTGTCTTATCTGGTAGTCATCCTAGCCTTTCTCATAGTAATCTTCATAAACTAGCTTACTTACACTGTAAAAATGATTCGTAATTTTACGGTTTATTTCCGGCAGCTGGGGTGTCAAATTACAGAAATTTACTGTAAAATAACAGAGGCTGAATTACAGAAATTTAGCAGATATTTAAATTTAAGGACATTTCTGTAATTTATTGCTTGTTATTTTACGATAAATTTCTGTAATTCGACAGCCGTCATTTTAAAGTTTTTTTTCAGCACCCCAGCTGCCGGAAATAAACCGTAAAATTACACTTTTTTTTTTTTTACAGTGTACAGTGCGTGATAGCCTTGGTTGAAAAGCCACGCAGGTGCGCAATGACAAAAATAGACAAACTGCCTCAAAAAGGCGCACAAATTGCGTAATGACAAGAAATAATATAGCTCGCGCCACCAAACACATGAAAACAAGAGTAACAAGCCCGATTTTAAAATGTAAGGAGTAGAAAGTACAGATATTTGTGTAAAAATGTAAGTAATAATAAAATTTTTTTTAAAAATAGTGGAGTGAAGTAGTGATACCAGAAAAATACTTTTTGTACTTTGTTACTTTCCATATCTGTGTCCAAGTATTGCACGAGAAGTCGATATATCGATTATTGTGACAGGTCTAGTTTTAGGTGAACTATCTCTTTAAGACAGTCAGTTGTTTCATTCTTAATGAATCCTTTTTTCGAATTGGTACAGAATGACTTTGAATAAATGAGTAACATACTGAAAACAGTCCTCTGTCGCCACCTACTGGCTAAACAATACAGAAAGAGTCAGTATAAACCCCCAGCACATTTAGAAGGGCTGTCTGCTCTGCCCATAACAGATGTTCAAGGAAATAGGAGCTAACTGCATTATGTAATTACCCATTATGTAATTATCCACTATGTGATTATGCAGTATGCTATTATGTGAGCTGCAAGCTTGTCTGTCTACATATAAATTTATTCCTCCGACCCAAGTTAAGATTGACATTTGCGGTGCTTATTATTCTGCAACAGTTCTTTGAATCCCCACTAGAATATTAGAGTGGTTCTATTTGCTTGTTTGTTCATTTTAAATCTCTTTCTCTCCACAGTAATGTAATCCCTCATCCTGCATCTAGGATTCCTCAAAAAGCCTCCAACACACAATCTTGTAAGGCATGCAAGTACGTATGCAAAATCACTCACTGTTGGACATCATAACGCATGATGTCTTTTCATCAGCATGGCAGACGCCCAATGTAAACATTAGATCTAAACCAAAAAAACAGCAAACTGTTAAGCATTAAACGTGTCCAAAAGAAGGCGTTTAAAATCTTTACACGCAATGACCCAAAGACTGTTTAGATTCATGTCACTGATGTAAAGATGATGGATGTTTAGTGTGTGATGACCGAAATGGCCTTAAACACACAGCACTCCAACATTGTGGGGAAGTTGCATTTTGTTTGGAAATGAAAAATGGGTTGACATCAGAACCCAATATCAGGCTGACGTCAATATGCAACGGTCAACCTAAAATCAACCAATTATCAACATCTAATGATGTTACAGCTTTACGTTGTCTGGACGTTACCACTATGACGTCTATCAGATGTTGGATTTTGGTTGTCATTCCTGATTAATAAATGTCAGCATTTGTTATCCATATGGCTTAAGATATTGGCTCGACGTTGGATTTTGGTCACTTTCCAACACAACCTAAAATCAACGAAATATCAACGTCATTTGACGTTGTTATTGGACATCTAAATTGAATCTAAATTCAATTCATTTAAACACTGAATTTTGGTCACCTTACATCACGACCTAAATCTAACCTAATATTAACATCTAATGATGTGCCTGCTAGGCAGTAACTAAATGCACTACAGAATGTTACGTTTACACATCCACAAATTACATGTAAATCATCATCTTTTTACAGCGTAATACTCACTACTCTTGAGTACTTTTGAAAGGGCTACTTTTTACTCAAACTTTAAGTAATATTTACAACAGATCCTTTTACTCTACTTGCACTACATTTTTTGGCAAGTAATAGTACTTTTACCTAGGTATAGTTTTCCAGTATTCTTTCCACCACTGCATATAATTAATAACTACATTGTTTTGATCTATTTTTTCTATCTTCTTTGATTAAAACACAATTCTATATTTATATACACAGTTGGTTACACGTCATTGTGTTCCTATCACCGCCACATTTTCTGCAAAATGCTTTTGGCCGCTGGGTGGTGCTATAACAGACTTCGTCAGCTAAAATATTGACTGGCAATTTTCAGCATGGCTTTTCACAATACTAGGATGGTTGCAATACACAAATAATCTAAGAAAAACATGTAGACTAACTATTTATCTTTAACAAAACCAATTTTAGTTTTATTCACATTATGAGGATTTAGTTTTTAATATTTTGGTATCCTATTTGAACTAAAAATGTATCAAAGTCACCATAGGTACGTTTTGTGATGTGTTCAATTACAATGTACAGTTACAATAGGCATTCTCAATGGATTTGAAAAATTAAGCAGTTATTTTCTTTTCATGATTTTTCCTTCCATATAGAAAAATGTATATGGAAATGAAGTTTCAATCACACTTTAAATAAATAAATAAATAATGCACATAATGTAAATAACTTGCCAGCGTAAGATTATGCAAATCACAAAATTTTGACAGAAATGTCAGATAGAACAATAAAATCCAGCAATTTTAGCCGTTCAGATGTATTGAAAGATGTACACTACAAAGTATTTTTTGGTGATGGAATGGATGTTTTTTTTTTTACTACTAATTTGGGTAATTTAGCAGCTAATTCGAGTGAAAGTCAAGCACTTAATAGGGACAATTTTCACAAAAGTGGCTACAATATGACCCTCCAAAAAAGACAAAGAATGATTGGATATATTGATGCACAGTTAGGTCCACAAATATTAGGACATCCACACAGTTCTAACATTTTTGGCTCTATACACCAACACAATGGATTTGAAATGAAACTAATTACAACAGTTTGCATATGTGCCTCCCACTTGTTAAGGGTCCAAAAGTAACCTCTAACAAAAGCTCAGCAACACCAAAAGACCCATAAAACCACAGAAAACAACTATGGTGGATGACCAAACAAATCTTTACCTGGTGAAGAAAATACCCTTCACAACAGTTCAAGAACACTCTCCAGTAGGTAGGTGTATGTGTGTCAGAGTCAACAATCAAGAGAAGACAACACCAGAGTGAATACAGAGGGTTCACCACAAGATTTAGACCATTGGTGAGCCTCAAAAACAGGAAGGCCAGATTAGAGTTCTAACAAAGCCTTTACAGGGCTGGAACAACATCCTATAGACAGATGAGAACAAGATCAACTTGTACCAATGTGATGGAAAGAGAAGAGAATGAAGAAGAAAAGGACCTCCTCATGATCCTTAGCAGTAAAGCATGGTGGTATTAGTGCTGTGCCGTGGGCAAATTAGGGCTGTCAGTGGAAATGGTTCTTTTGTATTTATTGTTGATGTGACTGCTGAAAAAAGCAGCAGGATGAATTCTGTTTCAGGCAATACTTTCTGCTTATATTAAGCCAAATGCTTCAGAACTCACAGGACGGCGCTTCACAGTGCAGATGGACAATGACCTAAAGCATACTGCAAAAACAGCCAAAGAGTTTTTAAAGAGAAAGAAGTGGAATGTTATGCAATGACCAAGTCAATCACCTGATCTGAATCCGATTGAGCATGCATTTAACTTTCTGAAGACAAAACCGAAGGAAAAGTGCCCCTAGAAAAAGCAAGAACTGAAGACAGTTGCAGTAGAAGCCTGGAAAAGCATCACCAGGGATGAAACCCAGCGTCTGGTGATGTCTATGCATTCCAGACTTGAGGCCGTTATTGACTGCAAAGGATTTGCAACCAAGTATTAAAAAGTGAAAGTTTGATTTATTCTATTCTGTCCCATAATTTTGGTCCTTTAACAAGTGGGAGGCAAATATGCAAACTGTTGAAATTTTTACAGCGTTCACCTGATTTGGATGTAAAGATCCTCATATTAAAGCTGACAGTCTGCAGTTTAAGCACATATTATTCATTTAATTTCAATCCATTGTAAAGAGCCAAAAATGTTAGAATTGTGTCGATGTCCATATATGAAATAACAACCAATTGCATGGCATTAATTAAAAATTTATTGATTATCATTAAAAATACAAACAAACAAATAATTGCAATTTTTGCCTTTATCTCTTTATGTTGTGCAACTTGATATGAAGGGATGATATAGGACTTTACATTAGAGTGACTTTACATATTGTTGTTCTTTGGTTGTGTTGATTACTTCCACTGTTGTCACTTGTAGGTCGCTTTGGATAAACTGTCTGATTAAATGTAAATGCATTTTTTGTGAAACACCAGAGTTTATGATTTTATCTGTATGTGTGTTTAATGCTTTCAGAGACAGTGTAATCATTGGCAAAGCACTGGGAAACTATTCAAACAGCTGGAAAAAACACGAGGCAAACTATAAAAGATTCAGGTAAAACGATAACCCGTTTAAAAGTAAAAAGACTGTTTTGTTTGTTTCTACTGTTGAACACAAAAGAAGATATTTTGAAGAATGCTGAAAACCTGTAACCATTGACTTCCATACTAGAAAAGGAAATACTATAGAAATCAATGGTTACCTTTGCTTTTTTTCCAAATATATTTTATTTTGTGTTCAACAGAAGAAAGAACTTCATAAAGGTTTAAAACCACTCGAGGGAGTAAGTAGTGAGAAAAAGTTTTTTCTGGGTGAACTATCTTTTTAAAGTTAGATCTGATGTTTTTAATTAAGAGAATCATAAACGTAGCATTTCTGTTTCTCTCCAGGTTATTACTAAATGAGAAATGCCATGCTGTGTCTAAAGCTGTGGTCACACAGAATAACACTCCTCTGGGGTCAAATGTTGTCTATGATGGCGAAAGAAGAAAGCCACTACAGGTGACCCAAGCCCTGTACAACATCTTGGCTAAGGTAGCGTATACAAAGTTTAAAACTGATGACAGTTTTTCAGATGATTTTGTATTTTTTATATTTTGTGTGTGTGTGTGTTTTGTAGGAACAACCATTTGGAAATGCGACATGGGAGTCATGTGCTGTAGTGGGGAATGGAGGCGTTTTGGCCAATAGCAGTTGTGGAGAAGAAATCAATTCAGCCCAGTTTGTCATTAGGTATGTCTCATATCACCCCATGTGAACTATTGCTTACATTATTATCAAAATGATCATAATCCACTTCAGCATAAGTCATATAAATGCTAAAAGGTTTTAATGACAGTTACTCAGTTACTACATCAATCTCCTATCAGTAACCATGGACTAATCCTAATCAACCCCTGTATTTTAGATGCAACCTTCCACCACTTGATGACAGATATGAGAAAGATGTGGGAAACAAAACCAATCTTGTCACAGCAAATCCCAGCATCCTACATGAGAAGTAAGTCTGTGATTGAGGTTCACCCCAAAATAAAAATGTACACACTATTTACTCACCCTCAACGGGTTATACACTTTATGAGTTTTTTTCTTCTGTCAAAAAGCAATTGAAGATATTTTGACAATAACCGTTTTTAGGGTTTACCACGGTTTAGAAAAGCCAAGGTTTTAAAACTGCCAAAATTTTCGGCTATTCTATTCCGAAGGTATATGTACAATTTGTTTTTTAGGACAACAGTATCTTCAGCAGAAAAGATATTCAAAGACGCCATTTTAAATTGTGAAGAAATCTGTGTTTTTGAAACTAATGCAGAAGTCAATGATTTATTGGAATTGTATAGTCCAGAAAGACCCAGGGCTCTATTTTGACGGTCCATGCACAAAGCAAAAAACGCAGGGCGCAAACACTTTCAGGGTGTGTGAGAATGAATTTTTCTTAATATGAAGACAAAAAAATCCGCTTTGCGCCGTGGCGCATGATCTAAAAGGGTTGAGTTTATTTTCTTAAAGAGTTATAGGTGTGTTTTGAGAATAAACCAATCAGAGTCTCATCTCCCATTCCCTTTAAGAGCCAGTTGCGTCGCACCATAAGCGCATTTGCTATTAACATGACGTAAAGTAAGTGTAAGTGGAAAAACTGAGCATTTCACTAGCAAGAAAACAGTTAAACAGAGCATCTACCGTGCGAGAATGACAGATAAATTATCTTTCATTTCGCTCTCGTGGATAGGGAAACCTTTGGACACAGACATCAATTAGCCTATAAGTAATTAATTTCGTTTGTTAAGCGCAAAGACTTGTTTCAAAACTATTTCTAAATTCAGTTCTAATTTCCAGCAAACGAATAAATGAATAATAATAACAAAGTGTGTTCAAAAACCTGAGTTATATCTGCTGTGCCCCATATGGTCTAAAACCTGCAGGTGGGCAAATCTAAGCTTGTTTTTAATAAAACAAACATAAATATGGATATAATAAATAATACTGCTAATAATACTAACATTATACAAAAGCAAATTGTTATGAATGAACTGAAAAAGCCTCCCGAGATGAAGGAGGCATAAAAGCAGTGGTTTATCATATTTATATAGGCTAGAAAATAATGTTTTGTAATATTTTAATCCTTCATATTTATATCCTATTTATATTCTTATTATATCCTATATATATATCCTTAAAATTTTAATAATTTTTCTGAAGAGTTCGAAAAGTATTACAACAAATTTAGATATGTATGTTTAGAGGTTACTTAACCAATCACCAATGTAATTTGAGGTAACTACAATGTAAATTGATGTCCAAATGTATCCCCTGAAAATATATAAATATTTTTTTATAACATTATCAAGATGAGTGAGGCATGTGTAAAGTTATTGTGTTGACCACAAAAACAGAACAACATTTTAATGTTTTCCTAGTTTGTGGCGCCTCACAACTCTAATGAGTTGTTTTTATTGAATAACTAACGTTAGCCAACTATGATTACAAATTCGTTGAACTGTTTGTAATGAGAGAATTTGTGACCATAATTGCTTTCGGCAAACGCACCCCAGTGTGGTCAGATTATATAATGAATGACCAATTAAGTCTTTTATAGATGATTGAAAATATATGAAAACATAAGTTATAAAACATAACCGAACGTATGACTCAACTCAATGAATTCTTTGTAGAGAGTCAAATACAAACAGCATTCGTGGGACTGTCCATTTGAAAATGTCTAAGTACACATTATCTTTTTTGTCAGTGCTATGTTTAAAATGTATATGGCTTGAGTGTGTTACCACATTAAGTGTAGAAATATGTGTTTTAAATACTTTAAAACGTTTTTGTAGTGCCATACTTTCTGCGGCTGTTTAGCTGCGGAAGCTTAGGACTATGGTTCAGCCTCAGCTGGCTCATTCTACTAAATTCCAATCTTTAAAAATTATCCCATTAAAATACTGTGGTTGCTATTAAATGAAACCATATCTTAACTCGATAGAATTTAAACCCGCTTGATATCCCATGGCATTAGCACACAGCTGATGGTGTTCAGTGTGCAGGTGATGATAGCAGCCATTATTTTTAAACGAAAGGTGGGAACCGGGAGGGAGGAGCTCGAGCCAATCAGACATAAGAGGGCCAACAGAATCTGCAGAATTTATTTATTTGTTTTTCTATTCCTGCCCATATTTTTGTTAAATAAATAAATAACTGCAGATTTATGCTGAATAATTTTGAATATAGGAGCCGGAAAAAAAAAAAAAAAAACTTAAATAAAAAAAAATCCAATTAGAACAACTTGTTTGTTAAACAAAGCAGTAATCATTCTCATATAATATATCTGCTAAAAGATATAAAGAATATTTCATTACAAATTGCATTGTGTACAAATCATCTTTGATTTTTGCTAATTAATCTATGATATAACCAACATAAATACAAAAACTGAATATAGTCCACACACTTTTACATAAGTAAAAACAGGCTCAACAATCTGTGAAGATCTGTGGAGAATGTGCCAAATATTTTTACTCATGATTTTTTAGAACCTTTGTTTGAAGGGAAATGAAATGGCTCAATGGTTGCGATAATAAAGTTATGACAAAACACACAAAATATGTATAATTTAATTGATGAACAATTAATGTTTCTTACATTTATCTTTCTTACATATCTACACAACTCATATCAGCACAAAATATATAAATATTTTTTTAATTAACAATTTATTAAAGTAAATAATGATGGGCAACATCATTTGTCAATCCAAGTCTAGACCAAATGTCATGGCCATGTGTTGGCAGAACATCAAATGCAAAAGGCTCTCAAAAAACGCTTCAAGAGCTTTGAAACACTGGGCATCTACCATGCTTCCCAGGAATTGTGTCAGCCTAAAAACAAAGCTATCTTGATCCTAAACTCATGGAGAAAGATAGCAGTTGTGTTTGCAACTTTAACATTGAGTGCTTATCAGGATCAGCTAAACTCTTGAACTGTGAAAAGTATGTGAAGTTCACAGAGGAGACTCTTGACAGCTGAATGCAGTTTTAGCTGTGTTGATTTATTGATTAACTTTAATTTGCCCTTTCACTTGACAGTAAACAACACTAATATTTCCCAAGAATCATTTCACACATACTTCTTATTAATGTAATCTCCTCATTTGGTTATATACAGTTGAAGTTAGAATTATTAATCCTCCAGAATCATTAGCCCCCCTATTTTCCCTAATTTCAGATTAACAGAAAGACATTTCTAACATAATAGTTTTAATAACTCATTTCTAATGACTGATTTCTTTAATCTCTGCCATGATGACAGTCAATCATATTTTACTAGATATTTTCAATATATTCAGTTTAAAGTGACATTTAAAGGCTTAACTGCCAGGGTTCTGCCACTTTGGTCTTGTAAATTCTTGTTTTGGTGGCAGAGCTCTGACACTACTCATGTCTGGTCCTGTTTCTGTCTCTGTGTCCGTCGTGGGTGTACGCAGAGTGTGCGCGCTGCCACTTGATGTGGCCGCGCACGCTCTGCGTCCCTCAGATGCACGCGCTCTTGTACTAGTGTTTGTGTTTGTTCTGTCAGCAGCGCGCTGCTTTATTCTCGGCGCCTCCGTCTAGTTGGTTTCAGTTTTGGTTGGCGCTGAGATTAAGCATGTGCGTTGCTTATGTGTGAGCGCACTGTAAGGTGTTTATCTATCGTGTGCTCGTGTCTTGCGTCTCTTGTCAAAGCACGTGGCTCTGTGTTTACATTGTGGTCACGTGCTTTTGTCGTGTGCTTCAGTGTTGTTTGTTGTCATGAACATGCGGTTAATGAGTTCTCTCATTGGCTGCATGTTCTTGTCCTGTTAAGTGAGCGCATGGCTTGTGTTGTCTCTCTGTGTCATGCGCTCTCCCGTCTATTGTCTTGTCCCACCCTCCTTGTTAACCCATTATTAGTTAATTGTGTTCACCTGTTTGTGTGTTAATTTTCTACAGTTTATATACCCCTCACATTTGCTGTCCTGTGCCAGTTCGTCATCACATGTTGTTGTTTGAACCCTTGTCTTGTCATGTTTCCAGTCCTGTTCCTTACCAGCCAGCCCAGTGAAGTTTGTTTGTGTATGTATTTGTTTTGTTAATGTTTTCCCCCTCGGGGTAGTTTATTTTGCATTTTATTTTATTTTTATTATTTAATAAATTCCCATTTTTCCTGCACTTGAGTCCTCGCTCCTTTTTCCCCATTTCCCCTCACCAACCCTGACATTAACTAGGTTAATTAGGCAAGTTAGGGGAATTAGGCAAGTTATTGTAAAACAATGGTTTGTTCTGTAGTCAATCATAATAAAAAAAAATAGCTTTAAAGAGCTAATAATATTGACCTTAAAAGGGTTTTAAAAAATTAAAAACTGCTTTTATTCTAGGCAAAATAAAACAAAAAAGACTTTCTCTGAAAAAAATAAATTTTAAAGGAACCGCTGTGAAAATGTCCTAGCTCTGGCGAACATCATTTGGCAAATATTTGAAAAAGAAAAGGGCTCATAATTTTGACTTCAACTGTATCAATGTATATAGTGAGACACGTCTTTATTTCTACTTTACATCTGTACAGGTACAGTGGTCTTATGGAGCGGCGGCGTCCATTTGTGGAAAGCCTTCATTCATACGGTCAAGCCTTATTACTGCTGCCAGCCTTCTCCTACGGTCACAACACGCCTGTATCCCTGCGTGCCTTTTACACACTGGAGGACTTTGGCAGAGAGGGCCCGCTGCCCATTTTTCTGAATCCAGAATACTTGAGAAAGTTGACAAAGTTTTGGCGCGAGCAAGGCCTGAACTCTGTTCGCCCCAGCACTGGGCTCATCATGGCCAGCTTGGCTCTAGAAATCTGTACTAACGTTCATTTGTATGGTTTTTGGCCCTTTGGTAAACATCCGAACGACAGTCGACCCATCACCAACCATTATTACGATAATCGGGAGAGCAAGAAAAATGTGCATTCAATGCCGAGCGAGTTCGAACAATTACTGAAACTCCATAAGCAAGGTGTGGTTCACATACACCTGGGAGAATGTCAACCCGCTCATAGATGAAACACGAGGCTGGTGGGAAATGTAAGGTACGTTTGGTGTGGATTGCATACAGAATACCTCTGTTTATTTAAAGGGTTAGTTCACACAAAAATTAAAACTCGGTTATTAATAACGTACTAATAATCTTTCTTCATATTCAGAGTAGGCGATGTCGACCAATTTGGCATCGTACTATGTCTAATCTGAAACATTGCGATGGGCAATAGCATCGGTGAATTAATTAGGGGGACGAGATCCATCATTGATAAACTGTCCGACGTGCACTGCTCTCTGGGGTTTTGTGCTCAAAGCACCCGCTGACTGCCTGGAGCTCAAATGCAGGCATACACTGCAGTCCATGCCTGTGTGTGTGTGGTCACGTGATGTGCGTTTTCAGCAGTATAGTTTGGACGTGGATCGTTTTCATTATAAAATGTCATTTTAAAAAAGATTTTAGTGTAAATGGGGCCTAAGTGTGTATTTTTAGCAAGCGGGTTGCTGCTGCGACGCGGGCAGGGCGAAGCATCGAAGTCCAGAAAAAGAACTTTAAACATTGTCAAAAACTTTCATGTGACTTCAGTAGTTCAACTGTAATAATATGAAGCTTCCAAACCTAAAAATGACTTTGCTCACCACTGCCTCCTTTTCCAACATTCTCACTGCAATTCGTGACTTTTTAATTCAGTGTCTAATTTGTGTGAATTTGTATGATCACATTTGTACAATTAAGCATGATTTACTCATCTCCCAAAGACGGTTAAGCCGCCTTTCCACTGCACACGACATTCGGGCAAGACTGTCAGAATACGTCCCCTTGTAGCTGTCGCACTGAATTTTCACTTTTGTAGTGCACCATGGGAGAGAGGCTGTTCTCGCAGTGTCCGAAATATAGGATTTCAAAAGCAAGAGCCTTTATTCTCTGTGCGTTCACCATGGTTAAATAAATGAATGCTAGAAACTCATAAATCGCTAAAACTTTTGGAGGGAATGTGGAGACGACATAAAAAAATGATATTTTTTATGACTCATTTATGAAAAGAAATGTTCTTTTAATATAGACCTTTTTTCTGATTCCAAAAATAATGATAAAATAAAAACTATTTCTCATCTCGTGCACACAGACCTGCTTGGAAAACACTGGAATACATCACATCCGGTCGGTGGCAAACGGTCTAGTCGCAAGAGTTCAAATATTTTAACAGACCCGCATCTATAATTGCATTTAAATTTTTCGCATACGGAGATGATCGGAACTCCCAGCTCCCAGACTACTCTCCATTGGAAATGAATGACTTCCTGTCTATCACTTGTCATTTGTCGTGTGCAGTGGAAAAGCGGCTTTAGGTTTATGGGTAGTGTTTGGTGCCTCCTTTTAAAAAACTTACATTTTCAGACTAAACTCTTATGAATTCGTACAAATTGGCCACTAAACTGACAAAATGTAAAACAGTTACGTTTCCTTATGAGATCAGGCTGGCTTTTCTGCAATAGTACACTGTACAGTATTATGGCCGGTACAATGTATTTAACATTAGGAGCATGTTGCATATAGAAAATCTGACCTGGAAGACTGTAGGGCAGGGGTGTCAAGCTCATTTTCAAAGGGCCAGGGCAAATATAACTGTAAGTCTGATGTTAGAATTGCCCACTTACATGTTGTTAAATAGTTTTCTCTTAATTGCATTATATCATATTGAAGTAACAAATTCAGTGGGGGAATAAGTATTGATCACATCAGCATTTTTCTCAGACTTTAAATTTTTTCCCAGATGTTGGTAGCAACATCTGAAATCCATATTTGCAAAGGCAACAAATATAATTAAATTACTAATTAATTTATGCATAATAAAATGAAATGACGCAGGGAAAAAGTATTGAACACATGAAGAAAGGAAGTTGTATAAAGGCAGTAAAAGCCCAGACAGCAGCTGAAATCTCTCAGAAGTTCTTCAGCAACCCCCTGCTCTTAATCATTGTAAATTGATATCAGCTGCTTCAGTCCAACATCTACATTATCAGGATGATGAAGATGAAACCATGGTGAGCATTTCAGCAAGACAATGGTCCAAAGCACAGCCAAGGAAACTCTCAAATGCTTTCAGAGAAAGATAACCAAGCTATGAAATGGCCCAACCAAGCACCTGACTTAAATCCAATAGATTGATTCCAATAGAATCCAGATTTGGTTCACAAAACCAGCATGCATTATGGGAGATATAGTTTATAATCAATATATAATATAAAGTAGCATGGACTTTTGTTATAATGCTGGGTTCATACCAAACGTGAAGCACCACATCACTCACTCTAGATTACTCACAAGATGTTTTTCACCTCATATGAATTTTACGTTTGAGTTAAATATCTCAAACTTTGCCAGAAGATTTTTGCAGCAAATGCGTCACCCAGTCTGCATTTACATTGTATATAATCTATTTGCACGAATACTTAAGTTCGCATTTTCCTCGCAGTCCAAATAAAAATCTACGGCATTTGCCTTGTGGGCCTTGAGTTTGACACATGACAAGTGAATAAAGTCATTTTTACAGGTGTTTCTCAACACAAAATTGTTCTTGGGCTTTTGTATGCTTACAGTTAAACCACTGAAGTCACATGGAATATTTGTTTATTGTTTTTCTGAATGTTATGGGTTGTTTATGGAGGAAGAGAGAGCTGTTTAGAGTGTATAAAATGGCTTAACTTGTGTTATTAAGATGAAAGATGGACATTGGAACGAAATCAGGAATAATTAATGACCAAATTTACATTTTTGTGTGAACTAACCCTTTCAGAAGAACAAAACGTTTTGTTTAGAAGGGTGTGTAGGTAAGAAGCAGTTGTAGATGTGCACTGAATCTGTATTGCTTGTATTTGCTGTGCACTCTTGCATGCACAAACATATCATCAGTTTTGAGTTACTTTGAGTTAACCTTGTGCACAAAAATAGCTAAAAAACGAATGTACCAACTTCAGCCTTGGTGTACTGTGAAAGAACTGTAATTAGGAAAATGACTCCCAGAGTTGCATTCCTTAAACACTCCTTAAGCGGTCTTGCCTTAGTCAGCCTTTACCGGTGCTTCTCCAGCACTGTTGCATTCATCACAAGTGCCAGTCTGTCCTCTTTGGCAGTGAATGTGAATCTGATCTCAGGTGTGCAGAAATAGCTGTAAAAAGCAGCACTGAATTTATAACGCAAGACTGTGAGTTTAGGAAACGTCTGCCATATATAAAAAGCTTCAAAGTATGCTGTCACATTCACCGTGTGAACTAAAAGGAAGCATAGATGTGGTTTAGCTTAAAGTAAAACACAGAAGGTGTAAATGCTGACAATAGTGCCAATTTTCAGCGTGCCAGTTTTGAATGCCCTGTATTTACACAGAAATCACTGTAATGTAAATTAAAGTTGCTATTGATTATTAATTAAATTTCACTTTCTGATCAAATGCAAATTGTCTGTGCAGTTTGTTGTGTTTGTTCATTAATTTACCTTTAGCTTAGTCTCTAATTTAACAGAGGACACTACAGTGGAATGAACCGCCAACTATTCCGGCATATGTTTTACACAGTGGATGCCCTGTTAGGGATGCCAATACTGGGAAACACCCATATACTCTCACATTCGCACACAAACCCATATGCTATGGACAATTTCGTTTATTCAATTCATCTATAGCTCATGTCTTTGGACTGCAGGGGGAAACGGGAGCACCCAGAGGAAACCTACGCCAACACAGGGAGAACATGCGAACTCCTAGCTGTGAGGCAACAGTGCTAACCACTGAGCAACCATGGTGTGTTTTGGAAGAATATTTCGCATTGTATTGTTAAAACAAGAAATAAAACTTATATAAGGAATGGTTTGTCTTAAAATAAACAAAGTTACATTAGTAACTCACCTTTGTGTTGCTTTAAAGCTGTGTGGCTCTACATTTATATTTACACCTCGTTGAGGTTGAGGTTGAGGTGACGACCAATCAAATCACAGTAGATTTACGATTTACGGAAGCAAAGCAGACATCCGAGCGTGAAGCATCAGTTTAATTCTAAAAGAGATTGAGGTCAAATACAAGAAGCAAACATTTAAAATGTATGTTTCATAACATAAACAACAGTTGACAATAATATCTAGGTGATGCAAACTATCATTTTTGCAACATATTAAATGGATTTTTGAAAATGTCCTTCCATACAGTGTGTAACAGCAATAAGTGAATGGAAACATCCAGCTGAGGTTAAAGTCTGAAAGTTCACTGTGTTTAAAACTAATAGTTCTTTAATAAAATAGTCGACTCAGAGTCAAATAAATGAATCGTGTTGGGTTCAGATCTTTTGCTTGAACATGTCGACGTCGATAATATACATCACCAAAAATGAAGTACACTTTCCCTTCAGACACTAGCGGAGAGTGGGGATCACAGCAGATTAGCCTCACGCAAAGGAGTGGTTTGGGAAGAAATAAATCGCTGAACAAATTATAGATTATAGATATTATGGGATAATATATAATTATATATATATAATTATAATTATTATTACTCCATAATTATAGATTATGGGAGTCACTGGGATAATTAGGTAAAATAAATGCACATTATAAGACAATGAAAGTGATTTTTGACCTTGCATGCATATCAGCCTGTTGTTGGAGACCCCCAAAACCAAAATATGACCTTTTATGATGCAAAATAATGGCTCTTTAAGAACGGTTTTATGCGTATTTTAGTATTTTATTTAATAAAAGACTTTTTACTTCTTTTAATTTCTTCCCCACCTATATTGCGCAAAGCTTTGATCAATTCACTAAAAAAATGAAGAACTTTATTTATTTTTTGAGTTATACACAAGTTCACAAAACTTTCTGAAGGATTCACTCCAGTTTTAAATATGCTATATACTGCATTGGTTTAATAAGTACAATTGTTCCCTGATATATACATATGTTTATGGCTTCGGTAAGATCAAAAATTCTTCAGAAACCAATTCATAAGCGAATTATTACTCCACAAAATACCCCTAGAATCAGAAAATCCATAATTGACCATATATGGTTTGTGTCGTGAATATTATTGAGCTCTGCTCTGATTGACACACACACACACACACGCACACGCACATACAGAGCATGACGTAAACTGAACATGGACAAATATAAACCCAATCAGAGTAGTTAACCTACTTTGCTCACCAGATCTGTTGTGGATAAAGGCTAAATCATAATTAAACTTGACAAAAGAAAGTAATAGAGATGTATAGCGATGCATTTTGAAGCTACAGTCAAGGAAAAAAAACACCCAGGATTTAGTATCAACCTCTGCATGAACAGATGACAGGTGAGCTGAGATTTGACACGATTCTGCAGTCTACAAGTGTTTGTTAAAACATACGCATCTAACTTCACAATAAACACGATAAATCAACTAATTATGTAACCAAACATACCTTATGGTATTATGTGGAAAATCTTGCACTTTGCGTCCTGGGGCGAGTTTGAAACATTCCTCGTGCTGTGGTTGCCCAGTAACGCACAGTAAACATTCGGGCACTTGGGTTTTCAAAATTAAAGTCCCAAATCCATAGCCAGTGAAATATACACTTAAAATAAATAAAGGATGAAAATGTTCACTGTTACCTTATTAGAGGCCTGACACTAGAGCCTGAGGCGTGCATATTAATGATTTCAGAGCTTTTTTTATGATCTCAGAGCTGCATATCAGACTCCTGTTCTCTTGATTACGTCAGCTGCTCGTCAAGTCCGGATGAATGACCTAAAGTTTAGAAATTTAAACAACTTTCCTACCTCTGCACAACCTTTAAGTTCAAATAAAATTATTTGTTATTACTCAGAATCTGTATGTAACAGGTATGAAAATTATTATTCGCTTTAAGTATAGAATTACACAAAATATGTGTTTTATCTAATGTGTTAGTAAGTGTACCTGAGGTGTTTGTTAGTGTGTGTCTTCTCCTTTAAATTTCTAAGGGAGCTCACGCTGTTTAATTTCCTGTTTTGCGCCCCGCCTCTTCCCTTTCTGGACTGATTATGCATGGGAGAGGTGGGTGTCTGCTAAGCTCCAATTAATCTTTAATCATCTTTACTTTATAAATAACTTTTATAGCTAGTTTTCATGTTTAAATAATATTTATACCTTTATTTTCACATATATTTTATTATTTTTGTGTCATCACTTAAATTGAAGTTTTGATTGACTTTAGCCTAACTGAAGCATGTGAATGCTAAATGCATTGCACTTTACTTTTAACAGAAAAGCTGTAAGGGCGAAGACACACTGTAAAAGCTGTGCTTTTTGATTTATTCCCAGGTATGTTTTGTCACTTTGTTAATATTGTTTGGAGTTTTGTTCTATCTTTCTCTCCATCTCTCCCCTTTCTGGACTGATTATGCATGGGAGAGAAAAGCTGTAAGGGCGAAGACACACTGTAAAAGCTGTGCTTTTTGATTTATTCCCAGTGAGTAAAGAGCCGTCACAACTGCAGATCTCCGACTGGTTATTCCATAATAAAACAAAGAAAACACAACGCAGAACCGGTTACACGTATACATAAATCAAAATAATTTATTTGCTACTATTTCATTTTGTTTGGATTTTTTTAGACCATTATTAGGGATGTACACAAAAACAATGGTCACAACGTATTTCCTGTTTTACATTTTTAATTTCTGTAGCTTCTGAGAATCCAAAATGAGCCACATATTGATAAATAACGTTGTGATAGCTATTTTAACATTAAGTTACGATTGAAATACCTCTTGTTACAGTTATGAAATAGTTTAATAACAAGCAGGAAATGTTAACGGGCCAATGACATAACCACATTGAAATGGTCTACACATAAATAAAAGTGCATAGCTTCAGTCACTACTTTTCAGCATTTTCTGACTGATGTTTACTCACTTCTCAAATCTTTCCGTATGCGTAACAACAAAATGTGTCCAATTTTTTGTACTAAATGAAGAACAGTTGTCTATTGACTCTGATTTGAGTTAGATAGCTTTCCTGCAATGCTCTTATTTATTTATTTTCTTTGTTTTGTTAGTTTTTTTTCACTGTGCAATTAATGTAACTTGTATTTCTCCTCTCTTATATCTCTCTGATATTAATCTCCTGATTGTGGTTGTGTATTTTCATTCATGAATAAAAAAATAAATAAAAAAATGACCTAAAATATGTGTACATGCAAATGTGGAGGGCCATGAGTCTCGTCACAGTTTGCTTTGCCTCCTGATTGGCCTGTTGTCCACCGGGTTTTTACACTCAAGGAATTTACATGAGAAGAGGAAACAGTGGCGTCTGAGGCTCATAGTATGCCCATTTCCATATACTGATCTTTCATTATTCTACTATGTCCAGATTTTCATTATAGGGCACTTTTAATCTCCATAGATGGGGAGGTTTCAGGTGAAAATAGCTTAAATGGCTTTTATCACATGGAAAATTGAACACTTTTATACTAGCTATAGTGATCTTGCTTTCTTGAAAGCTCCAGACTAAATTTTTAAAAAAAAGAAAAGAAAAGAAGAAACAAAACAAATGCATTACTTTAAAAATGAGTCAACACGCTGAAAATTGCTGGGTTCCACACAATGTATTTCTGTTGAGCCAACATGAAAGAATTAAGTTTACTTATTAGTTTTTACAAATGTAAGTGGATTGAACATAAAACAATTAAGTTGCCCCCCCCCCCCCCCCCCCCAAAAAAAAAACAACCCTTTAGAGTAGTTGTTTCAGCTCATTTTAAATAAGTAGGTCATTTTTAGGTGAACAATGCCAAAATGTAAATATTTTCTTTAAATCATCATCATGTCTATCTAGAGCAGATTTAGCACAGCCAGATCATTTGATCGTCTTACCTTTAAACGTTGTGGAATAATCTGATGGCATCGAGTTGGTCAGTTGAAAGGCTTTTCACGGTCAGATGTTCTCATTGGAGCTTGTTATGAAAGCACAGCTTGGCAATTTGTGCCTCAAATTCCTCTGCGTGTGAATAGAAGTAGGTGTTGACGGACGGCTGGATGGGCCCCTATTATATAAAACCGAACCATCAAACAGCAAAGGGTAAGAAATGAATGGAGGAAAGCTCTGGATCCAATCCTAATGTCCATTCAGTTGGAAAAAAAACTGGATGACCTACAAAACAGTTAATCAATGCTTTGAAACAGAATCACTGGCTGCTGACGAACTTGCATAACAAACACACACTGGTGTATAAATGCACACTATATATATATACACAGTTGAAGCCCCCCTTTGAATTTCTTTCCTTTTTTAAATATTTCCCAAATGATGTTTAACAGAGGAAAGAAATTTTCACAGTATGTCCTATAATATTTTTTTCTTCTGGAGAAAGTCCTATTTGTTTTATTTCAGCTAGAATAAAAGCAGTTTTTATTTTTGTATACATTTTTTTTAAGTAATAAATATTATTATTTTTTAAAAACCATTTTAAGGTCAAAGTTATTAGCCCCTTTAAGCTATATTTTTTCGATACTCTACAGAACAAACCATCATTATACAATAACTTGCCTAACTAGCCTGCCTAACTAACCTAATTAGGTTAAGCCTTTAAATGTCACTTTAAGCTGTATAAAAGTGTCTTGAAAAATATCTAGTAGTATATAATTTACTGTCATCATGGCAAAAATAAAATAAATCAGTTATTAGAAATAAGTTATTAAATTATTATGTTTAGAAATGTGTTGAAAAAATCTCCTCTCCTTTAAACAGATATTGTGTAAGAAAATAAACAGGGGGCTAATAATTCAGGGGGGCTAATAATTCAGACTTCAAATATACATACAAAACAAAAATATTCACTCTTCACGCTTTAAAGCAGTTCGTCTAAAATGAAAGATTCTGTTATCTTAATGAAGTCTGTCAATTCTGTTCTGGTTCCAATTTTTTTCTCGTGCATATACGTTCTCGCCGCTTCTTTCCTTCTAGTTATTTCAGTTTTTGCTTTCATCTCCGGTGTTTGTTTAACTCTTGCTTATTTATTTCAAATTAAGAGACTGTTGTGAGCTTTAAAAAGTATCCCTTGTGACAGCAAACCATGGTTTTATTATAGTAGAAGTTTGATAATCATTTTTGGCACACTAATTATTAATTACAACAAATGTCATGGTTAAACTTTTGATGCAATATATGGTTGAATTTACCTACAATAATCATGCTTTTTTTTATTCAAACATGATTCATTTTCATGAGAGACTTCAGATGAGAGTTATGGTCACTTTTGAAAGTATGTTTCATATGTCTGTACAAGTCAAGTTTCTTATTTTAGCTTCTTTAACTTTTAGCAATTCACATAGAGCAGGAATTTCCAAACTTTTCATCCCCAACCCCCAAAATAACAATGTCAGTGACTCGCGACCCCCATATTTCAAGGTGGTTATACTGTAAATATAAATGTTGCAGCTATAGGCATATATAAACATGAACATATTGACAACACAAACATGTAACAGTCTATTAAACATAAATGTTCTTTATAGTCATTTATTAATTACATTTTAATATAAAAATTAAAGGATGATTGCTGATTTTTATTTGTATTTTGTTGCTTCTTTAGCGCAACGATTAACTATCTTCTGTGGGTTATGAATAAAATATGGTAATTCAAATAGTTTAATAACATTTATTTAAGATTTGGAAATCACCAAGCGACCCCTTGTCATTGTCCCACGACCCCCACTTTGAGAAGCACTGATATAGAGGAAATATTTGAGCACATTATTAATTTACAGTTGCCTATTTCCTAAAACCCCATACTAAGCTGCTAATATATATTTAGATTAATACATTTTATATATCCCTTTCTATAAATTATTATTTGTTATACTCTACAGGTTATTTCAAAGACCAAAATTGTCAATAAAACTTACTTATTGATAGATGGAGTACCTAAAAAACTCACAAGAGGGCGCTATATGCACAATCCATCAGCCATTTACCTGGACTACACTCCCATCATGCTTTGCACCGGTTCAGACGCTGATTACTTCTGATTACTCTGATGGCTGATATCAATCTGCACACACACACAGCTGCAGATTATTTACACTGGTAACACACTTTAAGTATCCTTCATAACAGAGGCAAAGATCCCATAATGTGATTTGAAAGTGTTAAAAACAGGCATGATTAACCAACTACTGGAAACAGCTAATTAAAAGCATGTATAATTTGCACTTTTAAAGGAATAGTTAACCACATTTTAAATCTCTTGGATGAGTTAGTTTTTTTCCTCTTGGATAAGTTTGTTTCTTCTCGCCAACACAAAGGACAATGAGCTGAACTCTCCTTCCACTCTATGCTGTATTGCAGGGGTGGTCCTGGAGAGCCACCTTCCTGCAGATTTCAGTTGCTACCCATATCAAACACACCTGAACCAATTAATTAGGACCTGAACATCAGGGGATAATTACAGGCAGGTGTGTTTAATATGGGTTGCAACTGAAATCTGCAGGAAGGTGACTCTCCAGGAACCGGGTTGGCCACCCCTGCTGTATTGGATGAACAAAGTATGCAACCTATTCCTTTTTCTTTTTATACTTAAAAAAAGAGAGGAAAACATATGATCACTTGAACTGACTCTGAAATGTTTTGCGTTTTTTTGTAATTGACTAATTAATACGCATCGTACTCTGTATGCAAGCTTTGTGTAAGCGACAAATTTCTTGCATATGAATATAAAAAAACACGTTAAGATTTCGGATCTCAGTGTGCAAAGACCTTTAGCCTGACGTGAACTGAGTTCTTAAGCCACTTTTCCATTGCACGCGACATTTGGATACGGCTGTCAGAATACGCCTCCTTGTGGCAGTCGCACAATTTTGTCGCGCCCCATGGGAGAGACGCTGGAGTCTCACTGTGTCGCGGAATGAATACTAGAAACTTATAGACTGTTAAAACTTTTGGAGACAACATCCTATCGTCATCCTAGGACAAAATCCTATTTTTATTACTCATTTATAAATAGAAATGTTTTTTATATATTGACTTTTTCTGATTAAAAAATAACCAAAAAACTCCTATTTCTCATCTAGCACGCACAGACCTGCTTGGACAACACTGGAATACATCGCATGCAGTCGACCGGTTGCATACGGTCTAGTCACAAAAGTTCACAAATTTCAACGTATCCGTAGCTCAAATCAGAACCGAATTTTCCGCATATGGAGATGATCGGAACTCAATGCAACTCCCGGATTACTCTCCATTGGAAATGAATGACTTCCGGTCTGTCGCTTGTCGTATGCAGTGGAAAGGTGGCTTTAGAGCGGCTGGCAGTTATATAAGTAACCTAGCATTAAATGAGGCAAGCAGAATGGAGTCGTTTGGGTGTAATGTTTGCTTACAAATATATACATTAAATATCGCATACCTACTCTGAGCATGCGTCAAAACCGCCGCCATATTGGTACAGGGTTTAAAGGGGAAAAGTAGTCATTCAACCACGCTAAGCCCCATTAACACGGGCTTCAGCGTCAACGCCTGACAGATCGCGTGTCTGAAGTTGGGGCTGACGTGATCATCATAGCAGCTTCGACCAATGAAATTAGTCAGCGATTGGCTACTGTCCGAGCTGGTGTATTTGCATACAGCGATCTGATTGGCTGACGTCTCTGTCGGGGCTTGAAAAGCTGAGAAAGTCCCAACTTCTGCAGCGAGCAACGCTACTGAAGCAGTGCTGACGAATCCAAAATGCAGTATGGCAATGCCTGATGTCTCACATTCAAAATGTATGGGAAGCGTTGACGCTGACGCTCCGTGTGAATGGGGCGTAAAGCAGATCTGGAGATGTCGGACTGTTTGCCCTGCAAACGGCTGCAGTAACGAGCGAACAAAGAAAATAAAGGATAAAGGCATAACATTTCACAGGCAAGATTTGTTTTTTAACTATAATTATACATACATATGTTCCGAAATATTGTGGTCAACTAGTAACGTTATTGATGTTTAAGTCGCTTAAAAAGTGAGGGGATTAAGGGGTTTTAAAATCTGAAATCACTCATTTCTCATGCAGTACTTTGCAGTAAATGCGCAGTACAACAGGGTGAAAGAAACACAAATGCGGTTGAAATCCAAATCATCTACAGCAGTGGTTCTCAAAGTGGGGGTCGAGACCCCCTCCGAGGGGTTGCAGGACAATGAAGGGGGTCGCCTGTGATTTCCAAAAATCTATTTATTTTTATTAAACCATAAGAATGATTTAGCGTCAGATGCAGCATAATGATTTTCTAACACCAGGTTAAACTTTCTGGCTCATTTACAGCACTGATATACATTAAAAAAATTAAACGAAGAATAGACTTGGGTCTATTGGTGTTCATGTGCCACTGCATGCAAGGTTTCTGTATTTATAACAACCTCAGAGGATATTGGGTCACTGGCATTGTCAATTTGGGGGTCGCGGGATGAAAGGTTTGGGAAACCCTGCTCTAAAGGTTTCTTAGTCTGCATTATTTAGGGCAACTGGAGCTGAAAGACGTTATAATTTGAACGGCACCTGCGCATACGTCAGTCTTTTTTTATTATTCCCGAAGTTTCCATAATCCTGGACCAGGCCGTATCCTGAGCAACTGTTGTGATGGTTATGGAGGAGTGGAGAGCATGAGACTGATCCCTGTAAGACCCCAGTGACAGTAGAGTCTTCGCATTGATCCTGAAGAGACAGCCTGTACACCAGCTGGTGACCACTCCCACCTGCAGCTTCTACACGACAGACATCCTCCGGCGCCTAGACTGCAGCTCTGCACAAGACATTTGGACATAAGAGAAATGTTCGTGCACAACTGAGCCTGGTTTCTCTCAAGATTTTTAAACCCTTCACTTTCGCCAATTGGTGAAGCTTTTTCCTCGCTGCTGTCGTCACTGGTTTGCACGATTAGGGATCTGTAAAGCTGCACATGGATGGATTACTCTTTAGTGATTGAACTCTCAGCAGTGAATATTAAACACACTGAACTGAACTTCAA